TATTACGCTTTTAATGTACATGCTTTAATGGCAATATATTGATTGTCATTGACAAATGAATTGTATTGTGAATTATTTGTATCGAATGAAGAGGCAAACTTAAACTTTTGGGGAGTTCAGATAACTCTCGTTATATTGTAGAAAATTCCCTCCTTTGATAACTTTTCACTCCGGCCGAATAATCAGTCTCCTTTTTGCGACGCCAACAAGTGTGGCACTTGATCTTTTTCTTGCCACTTGCCACCGCACTCAGATTGTGATTGAGTATGTGCAACTGAGCCAAGGGCCAAGAAACAGGGTCCAGGACCTCATCTTCGTTTTTCCCTCTTTGTTTGGACATCGGCCGAGGGGTGAGTGATGAAAATTTCGATGATGCCCATCCAACAATGCCAGTTTGCCGGCGGAGGACGGGAACGGAATTTAATTTTGTGCGAGACTTGGGCTGCTCGCACAGAAGGACATGGTTGTCATCACCGCTGCATCAGCTGTCCCTCAACATCGACACCGGACCGAAGATAAAACCCAATTTGTTGCAAATAAAATAAAAAACAAAGCGGGCAGCAAATGGACACAAGGAGCTCCTCTTGTTGCCCCATCAGCAGGCGATGCAACAAAAGCAGAAGCTGGTGCAATTGAGCAAATTCATGGCAAATTGCCACTCGACGTCTGCTGGTGTCCAAGGAATAGGAATCAACGTCTGCAACGGGTTGCATTTCAGTCCGCAATCGATGATCGATGCCGAAATTAGAAACCGGAAAACGCATTTGGCATAATTTCAGTGCTCCACTCCACTCCCCCTTTGCTGTGTTTACGATTCGTTTATGCAAAGTCTGCCCAGCTGCGGGCCAATAAGGGGGAGTCAGACAATCAGCTTACCCACTCAAAGATAAATCTATATATATATATACAAGAGAATTTTCCATTTCAAACAGGTAATCGATTTTCATGCTTGTGGCAAAATGTACAAAAGAACTGAAACGAACCCAAAAGTAAACCAACTTTGTTGTCTGTTTCGTTTGTTTTCATTCTTATGTTTTTCCCTCGGCAGCTGGATTTCGGTTCCGCCTCCACCTTATTCTTATGCCATCTGCGTGTGTGTGGGAGGGCGGCTGCGGGTATCCGGTGCGTATACTTGATATTTATGTTGAAAACTTAAAGCAGTTAAGAGCTCGTCGAGCTTAAAATATTCCATCGGTGTCTGACAGCCAAGTTTATCCAACTTGTTGATTTACTTTTCGCCCCACTTTCCGGGGCCGAAGTTAAACCACATCAGTGTTTCTTCGCCTCCTCTCCATTTAAAGTGAAACCTGCCTGGAATAATCACGGTTCAAGATCGTGTTTTGCTTTTGATCTTTTCGCTGATTTGCATACGGAGGAATCCACTTCCGAACAGGGCTTTATTGAACGCATGGCGTTTCTTTTTAAAGGTCTTCATTGTAATCAAAGCTAATAATCTCCATGGAAATGCCATTATTTTGTATAAGATTTTTCCTTCTCAGTAAAAACTTAATCTTATAGGACTTGTCATTCTGTCTAAGCTTTTTAAACATTTGCATTCCCAGATTGAGCCCAAGTGCCTTCGATTATTCAGTGACTCTTTAACCACTATTAAATCTGAATACCAGGTATGATGCATATATTCGAGGCATTCGAATTTCTAATCTGCCGACAAAATATTCAAGAGTGCAAAAGTGCACATGTGCCCAACTCGGTTGACAACGGCAAGAAAGAATCCAATTACGGTGGCTACTGGAATATTTTTGACAAGTATTCAATGAATTTCATTCGAGATTTGTAACCCTGGCAGCCAGACATTCGCCAGCCAGCCGTTCGCAGCCAGGAAACGAATTAGAAATGTGTAAAACAGAAGTTGCTCCTAAGGATCTAAGGATCCAAGGAGCGTGGGCGGAATGAGGAGCGCCCAGTGAAACGTGGAAAATATTCCCTTTTTTTGCGGCTGCGGCTGCACAGGAAGGGAATCGGGAACTGAGCCCTGAACTCAATTCCTCGCCAAGTCAAGCCGGAAAAGGAAAATGATTTCCGGCCAGGACCGGCTGGGTGATAATTCTGCGGGATCCTAGAACTTTTTATGCAATCATTGGGCGGATTGTCAGTTAACTCGCAGCTGGCACTGCAACTGCGACCAATTCATTTCATCGAATTATGAGCACATTCCCTAGCTGCAGTCACCCCTCATTGCATCTACATAATTTTAGACATCATTCTCTTTCTCGCCACCAGAAAAACCCGAAAGTTTTAGCTCAAATAGCGAAAAAAAATAACGTTGTCAAAATGTTTGCACAAAGTTCTGCGAGAACAGAACTCGTTGCGAAGCGAGCCGAAGAAGTGGAAAAAATTATCACTATTGTTGCAGATTTGTTGGGCGACGGGGAAATTTGTTTTCCTTGCTGTTGCTTTTCCCCCTGTTGTTTTTGATGGAGGTGTTGGTGGCATTGATAACAATTCTCATTTCGTTGGCGACAACGGTGGCCACTCGTCTCTGTCTAGTCGTGCGTAAAAAATACAAAAGGTGTATTTTAAATATGTTCAATTGGAGGAACACAACTAAGCTAGTTTCACAAATTTGCATTAGAAACAGAATGAAAAGAGTGTCAGTTGTGTGCCTTGGTAAAAAGGAAAACTGTTTACGGAATCATTTTACGTAATTATAAATTAACTAAACCTTTGTCACAGATGCGTAGCTACGAAGAATTAAGGAACAATATCTATAGTAAAAAATTTATAGAAATATATACTCGTATATAAGAACAAAACCATTTTTAACTTGTATTGTTATTTATGGGATTCTTTGGATTTATGTCATACCATTTATAAAAAACCTTTTTAAATTGAACCCTTCGCAATATTTGTGGCCCCGAGGTCTATCCTCGATTAACTGACTCGTGGCAAAGTTTTCCCCCTGACAAATGATATTTAAATGAGCTGCATTTGAAAAGTTAACGGTGAGCGGTGCCCAAAGCAAATGTCACAAAATTGACAGGATCCTCGAAAAGAAGAGAAAAAACTGGCACAAGACGGCAAATTAAATATGCCAAAAGGCAAAGGCGAAATCCGAGCTGGCCAAAAGAACACAAAACTTTTGGCTTACAAACATTCCTAAACTCTTCGCCCCGCCGCGTCTCATCCCTTACTGAACCGCCTGCCCCTTGATCCCAACTAATGTCCAAGATGGTAAATCCGTTGCTTAAACGGCTAGAGGGCCCGAAGCCAAATGCTTTGGCGGCAACTTTAAGTCGCATTTGGTTTCCTAATGCGGCTCAGACGGCTTCCCATGCGCTCCTTCCAAGGAAAAGCGCGTGGGGCAAATTGAAATGAAATTGAATTTAGCCAGGGGTCGCTGGAGCGGAGTGAAGCGGGGAAGGGGTAGCATGGGGGTGTTGTAAAAAAGTTGACGCGGGTGTGGCAGTTTTATTTACAACTATTCCTCATGTGATGTGCTGGGGAAAATGCAAAAGAGTTTAATTTGCAATTTGTCGCCCTCATTCAACGCTTAACTTTTCACTCGGGCGGTGTTTGTGGTTGCATATGCAAATGCCTCGGCCATCCACTGCCACCTCCAATCCCCCAATCCCCTGATCCCCATTCCCCGCTCCTCACCTTTTCCCCCGGATTGGCCCGCAGCCCTGCATATGCGATAAAATGTACAAAGTTTTGCGTTAAGGCCCCACTTGAGTTGGGCTCGGAGTTGTTGCCGCTGGCAAGTGCCCTAGCCTGCTGGCCTGCCAGTTTGTTAAACGCCTTTCAACGGCGTGGTTAGCCAAGCGCAGACCTTGAAATGCCGCACATGCACCCCTTCTCGGCCAGAAGCGGTATGGTAGATGGTGGATGGTAGTTGAAACTAGTAGCTAAGGCTGCTCTATGGTGGCTGGCAGTTGGTAGTCGGTGTAGTTGGTGTAGCTGGTAGCTGGTAGCTGGAAGCGGCAGCCACTCGAGCAGCTAACCAGCCGGAGCAAACTTTTCTGCGGCGAGCGCTTTAAAAAACCATTCCGCAAAAGTCATTCCGTAAGTTGGTCCTGCATCCCGCATCCTGCAACCCGGCTGCACACTCTCTCACATGTTGATTTAGCAAACAAAATGTTTTAATTGAATAACACTTTGGTGTTTCACTGCCGCTCACTGGCAAGTTCAAGTGCTCCGCGGTCCAACTGTGCGTATACTTGATGGCTTGCTCGATTGCTGGATTGCTGGCTTGCGTGCTGCATTGTTAATCTCTGCGCGGCTCAGTTAAATAAGTTATTAACTGCATTTTTCCACAGCAGTGCTGCAGTGTCGGGGGGAATTAAAATTAATCTGCTGCAATTTTCGCTGGTGGAATTTCGACAAATATTTTCACACACTTATTTCACACCCACTTAGTTACTCGTTCTCTCGGCCACAATGTGTGAACTTATCCATGCAAATTGAATAGGTCTAAATTCAATTTGGCGCACAACAAAAAGAAATTGGCGGGTGGCAAACCAAAACAAAAAGCCAGAGCTTTTTGGTAATTTAGTTGAGCGATTTGCATTTTCGCTGGGGAATAATTTCTGCACTTTTGTGCTCACTGACTGCCCAAATTGAATTGACGAATAACAAAAAGGCAGGATGCATATGAAATTTGAGCATTTATATGAATTTAATTAAATGCTGTTGAATACGAAAACATTTTGCTTAAATTGTCGCACGCGCAGCGCCGCCGCATCAGAATTTGCATTGATTGATGCCGTATTCGGTGATTTATTGAACCTGAGGTTTGTCAGCCAAACAATTCCCCCTCCCCTCCCCTCCCCTCTCCCCTCCCTCAATTATTGTGATTGTCAGTCGGTAATGGCGGGGGTTGTGCTCTGCACAATGCATATTTATTTAGCCGGGTTTCATTTTGTGTTTCTTGGAACCGCAGTGATTGATGTGGCCATGTTATCCCCAAATAACTCTGACTGCACCCCCATCGTTCCCTGACATCTGATGGCACATATATTTGGTCAAAAACTCAATTTAAATTGCATTTGTGTTCGCTGCGCATCTGTCAGTGCGGCATGTGTTGCCTGTCAACGCAGCCCTTTATTCGAACAACTATTAGTTAAATAAAACAAACAGGGCAAACATTAGTTATCGACAGAGTTGGCAAACAGCTCGCTGGAGTCGTCCTCCTCGTCGCTCTCGGAGTCGAAGGCGTTTTCCGGTATATCGTACAGTCGGACCATCGGTTTGTTGGGGTCTTTCATGATCAGATACTTGCCATCTGGCTGCTTCATCATAATGTCGATCAGGCACCGCAGGATTCCCCATGCGTTGTCCATGTTCAGGTTGATCTGGGTGGCGAACTCCTGCGGCTTGAAGTTCTGGGTTCCCAGGATCACGTGGCGCAGGTGGTCCCTTGGACTCACTCGGGAAACGTAGCCCAGCTTCAGCTGATCGGAGCCAGCCAACACGGCTTCCACAGTCCAACGAGCCAACTTACAAGCATTGTTCCGCAGTTCGGAGGCCAAAACAGCTCCGCGCTGCGAGTCCAACTTCTGGCGCCACTCCACGCTGTTGGTCGCCTTCGAGTCCCACTCGTTGAGAGCCTTGATCGAGAGGAACTGCAGCTCCCCATTGGGGCCTTGAATCACCCCATTGTGCTTGCATCGGGCGATCAGCACGATGTCGTTGCCCAGATCCCACTTGCGGTAGCGGTAGCCAATGGAGGCCAGCTCCACTCCCGGCTCCTCGAAGGGATTCCGCTCCTCGAACTTGTGACGCGGCTCCTGGTCGCCAAACCGAAGCACCTTAAAAATATTATAAAGGTTTACAAAAAAAAAAAAAAAAGTTAAACGAAACAAAATTTACAATTCAAATAGAAAGAAGATTAGCTTCGGAGAGCCGAAGCTTATATAAAGTTATATGAAGAAATGGCGATTTTTCAATTTATTTTCCATATTTTTACCGATTGTTCCTATAACAGCAATATGATATAGTTTTCCGATTTTCATGAATTTTATTTAAATTGTTTATTTTTGTATAAAACCAATGAAACAAAATTAGTATAAAAGGCATGCCACTTAAAAATGTGATTTAAAAACGAAAAGCTATTGACTTTGAATAAGTCCACAAATCCATTTGTTTGTAAATTTGGAAAGGGTTGCATCTGAAAAATTTAAAAAATCGGCAAAAAATAAAAAACTAACTGTTGATAACTAATATTTTTTTGATTCTAACCTTATTTTAGCCACCTACTTTGGCATTCTGTTCGCCTGGTACTTCAAAACGTACTTAACGAAATAAATGTATTTACCTGCTGACTGAAATTATGGTTGATAAGGGTGGCCTCCATGGCCAAGCTGTGTGGCGAGTTGATGGAACCCTCCTTGTCGATTGGGGGTTCGTGTGAAGTCTCGTTCACAGTCAGCAGATCGAACTGGGCGTTATCCCTCTTATCCAAGAACACCTTGCTGCCCAGCTTCTCGATCACCACATCCCAGGAGTAATTCGAGCGAGTGCAGCACATAATGGTGGCCAGAATCTCATCGGTGGCGAAGACATTGCCCATGGTCTTCGAAAGACGACGGATTATCGGGTCATCCGTGGTTGTCACCGTGTGCACAATGCGATCCATCTTGAGGAGAGGCTTTTCATTCCGTAGATTAACTCGATCGTACAGCTTGTCATAGTAGTCCAGGGAACCACAGGTGATTATGTCCTGACCCTCTTTGATGTTCGGTAGTGCAAGTTTGAGGAGCCGTGGAAAGTCCAAGTCCTCGATGGAGACCCAATTGGAGCGCACCATCACGGAACTCTCGCGAAGTCTGGTCGGAGCATTCCGGGGAAACCGGCGACCCATATTCCGGCGTGCGTCGCGACCCTTTCCGTATTTAATGCTGTTTCCGGTTCCGCCTCCCGACGAAGGTCCTCCGGCCACGCCCAACAAGGCGTTGCCACGCCCCGTGCGTCCCCTGGTCGCATTGTTCCGAGTATTCGGGCGATAGCGTCCCCGCTGATAAGGTTTGAAGGACCTCGACCCAGTGCTGTCCACCAAGTGGAAGGTGGCGTCGTCGTCCTCGTGGAAGTACGCATACTGACTGTTGTTCCCGAAAGTCGAGGCATACTTGCTGGGGAACTTGTTCTCCTGCGCCGCCACCGTCCAGTCGCAGATCTTGCCCAGGCGATCGCTCTTGCAGAACGGCTGGTAGGGCACGTCCAAGTCGGGGATCTCACAGGGACCCCATCCATGCTCGTTGTACTGCACGTAGGGCTTTATGAACGGGGCGTAGTTGGACATGTCGGTGCCAAGAAACTAGGTTAAATATCCAAGTATGAATGTATATAAAGTGATGTGCTTTCTAGGTAAAAGTTATACAAAGCTGATTTCGATTATCGAGGGGTCTGGAAGCTTTGACAGGTCGAAAAACAAAGGCAAGACTGAAAAAGGCTATTAGATCCATTAAATAAGTAATACAAAACATGTAAATCAAGCTACAAGAATGATCTACTTTTACTACACATAAACTAAAGCTACACAGAATTGCAAATATATATATTTTTAATTATATGCAATATTTTAGATTATTGTGGATTAAAATGCCAAATTCCGATTATTAAAAGCTTTTTTTAAATGAAAATAGTAGGTAAGGTCAGGTAACTCCTTAACGTCAATGTTGCAAAATCAAGTAATACATTAAGAGTCGTAGATCCAAAAACATCATAGATAGAAACAAATATAAGTAAATAATGACAACTTGTCTATGATTTGAATTTTCCGGTGAAAACATTTTAGAATTTCTCGTCACACCGGACACGAATATATACCTGCCGAATATGCCATTGAGGAGAAACGAAGAATCAATTGGAAGAGGGTGCGGTTTCCTGCCCAAAGACGCACAGATGAGGCTCCTAATGAGGCAGCCACAATGAAGAAATGTGGAATTTCCTGTTCATCTATCGTTTCTCCACCAACATTACGCTGTTCTGCTTGGCCATAATTCTTTTAATTATCCGCATACTGAGCTGATGCAAGATGCCACTCCCCTTCGAGTAGATAAATTCCAGTTTCTTATAAACTTTTTTAAGAAAATATACGTTCGCGAATAAATGACGGGATTAGCACTTGACAACGCACCTAAGCTCAACGTTCATATCGACATGACTCCATCCACGTTACTCCAACTGAAAGCCATTGTTCGGCTCTAAGCACCTGGAAGGCAAAGGAACAACAGCGGAGTTGAGTACAATGGAGCTGGCATCCTGTATGCAGGATCTGGTCAGCTGCTCCCCCGGCGTCTCTTCATTCCGGGTCGGTTTCCTTATTCTTGGCGCCGAGCACCTCGAAACAATCTCGTTAAGCGTAAAGGCCAAATTATAGTAAAACTAACAGAAGGCAAAAGGTAATCACATAAAAAGCTTGTTAGATAACAACGTGAGAGGCGGCGAAAAAGGAAGCGGACATCCTGCCCCCCGGCTCATCCCCAAAAAGCAACATGTCGAGCGTGTGAATGTGCCTGGATGTGTGGAAAATGATATGGTTAAGGTGTGGGGTGGTGAAGGGGCAGTGGGAGGGGATGGGGAGTGGGAATGGGTGTGGGTTTGCGGTGGCACCTCCCGACTTCCAGCTTCCAGCTCCCAGATTCAGAGCTAAGCTTTGTCAAGCGACAGGGTGTCATGTTGATGTGTGTGTCACTGGCAGCTGCTGCTTACATGGCCCAGCTCCAGATTCCCTCGCACTTCTCGGCTAATACAGAGGGAAAACCAGTAGAAGCATAAAAGTCAAGATAGGGGATACCAGATAATAAAATGTAAGGCATTCATTTGTATCCGTAAGTTTACAAGGCACCATAATGGATGTAGAAATAAGTTATCGATCTCATTACTGATCGCAAGGATACTAACAGTACATTACAAAATTTTTAATAATATTTTATTGTATATAAATTGATAAATAAAAAGCGTACGCGGATACCAAACAAATGATCTAGTTCCTTAATATTTATATTTCTCTATTTATCAGTATTTTTCGGGGCTTAAAAGATATCAATTCTGGTTCCCCAAAACGTAATCTATATTTATTATGTGACTTTGCTTGCAAGTAATAAATTGAGTAACATTTTTTCCGAGTGCAGACTTAAGCCGGGATGAGTGTGCGTGCGACAGTGTGAGTCTCTGTGTGTGTGTGTGAGTGTGGATTATAATTGCCATGCGGCTGTCAGTGACTGCAGGCGGCGCCTAACTGCACACAGCTGCAGATGTGTGGCTCGTGTTGCAATATCATTTTTAATGCAAACCGCATGCCACATTATGCAGCTGCATTGCCACGTCACCGCTGCGGTTTTCCCGCCCCCCTCAGCCACTCCCCTTTCACCTATCGTCATCCTCATCTCATCTGCCATATCGCCACTGCTGCTGAAGCTTTTCCACTGCCGGTCTTGTAGGAAAAAGCGGCAGCGGTTTAGCTGAAGGAATACGGCCAAGAATAATGCCCTGGCACATAAGTAAGTACTTACGTACGGCGAACAAAAGCAACAAGAACAACAGCAACAACAGCAGCAACAACAACAGCAACTACTTCTGCTATGTGCTGCCAACAAAAACAAAAACAACAACAGCTGAAGCAGAAGCAGAAGAAGCAGAAGCAGAGGCAAAGTGAAAAACCGCTTGCATACTTTGCGGAGCTCGCGAGCGATAAACGACGCCATTGCCACCCGCTCATGCACCTCATCCTGCCCCAAAGGGTATGCCACACTGGCTGCCGTCCGACTGAGTGCGAAATTAAGAACACATTTTCGCAGCACAATTTATTTTCAAAATTACTCCGAATTAATGCACAGTGTTGATGGTTTTTCGCTATTTTATAGCGACAAATATTGATAACATGTCGCGGATTATTCTATTTGCAGGTCCTTGAAACAAAGTGGATGCTATGTTAAACACGGATAATACGAAAATACATTCCTGAAAATGAGAATTTTAATGAATTTGTATTTGAGGTCATGTGCAATCAATTATTACAGTAAATTTGATTTCGATGTATTTCCCATCACATTTATTGTTGACTTAATATTGTATAGCAAATATGTACTTGATGTACTTGTTCTTAAACATGAGATTTAATTAAATATATTTTTGTTAATCGCCAAAGGCCATTGTTCACATCAAAATACACAAGTTGGCTTGGCTGAATAAGGATACCATTTTGCTATTAATTAAGTCTATCTCAATGGGTGCTAAACTGTATTCATATTATTTATAACTTCTTTTATTACTATTTTATTCTGTATGATACCTAGGGTATTCCTTATTCGTTGCCTTATTTAAAAATTCAGATTTTGTGTGGCTCCAACGCGCGTCGGAAGCTCAGGCTGCTTCTGCAGCTTTTGTGTTGCATAAAAATTAAAATTTATGCCAGGCAACTTGTGCAAAGCACTGCAAATGCCATTGTTTTTCATTCCCCACCCTCCAACTGCCGCTACTGATGATGTTTTTTTGGCGGCGGAAGGACGTTCACGTTCTGGGTGGCTGCATTCACTCCCTCTTTCACTACCCCTTTCACTTCTGCCCACCGCCAGCTTGTCAAGCCCACTTACATTCAATTCATTCATCTCCGGCAGAAAAATGAAAATAAAAGCCCCCAAAAGCCGCCACTTCTTGCCGCAGCAGGCCATCGTAATTGCAGAGCAATTATACATACTTCCACCGACAAGATGGATACGTAATTAATAGCACATTAAATTGGGCCACAACAATATTAATTGTCCTGATTGATTTATGCAGGTAATTAACATTTTAAGCAACTGTGGGAAATAAATATCGTTCCTGCTCAGCAAACTGAGAAATGGTTTGGGATTGCTGTTCTCCTCCACTCACACAATTCGATTCATCAATCAAAACTGGGAGCGAAAAATAATTAAACGAAATGAGCACAAGATAAGTGTGGACCATAAAACATCAGATGGGCTTTCTCAAGAACCGAGGCGCAAATTACCATAGGAATGTCAATGTGGATACTGCACTTGAGCACAAAATTTCTTCCACTGCTTCGAAAAGCCCCGATTCGTCCAGTTTCGCAGCGACTTGGTGCTTCCTTTAGGAGTTTCTGCGACTGCCAGAAACCAAAAAAGATGGAGCTCCCGGAAGGAATCCTCATGGGCTTTGGCAATCCCCTTTTGGACATCACTTGCATGGTAGAGGACAACGTGATCCTGGAGAAGTACGGCTTGGATGCGAATGCAGCGATTATTGCCGAGGAGAAACACGATGCCCTGTTCGACGAACTGATGAACATGGAGGACGTCACCTACTCCGCGGGAGGAGCCTGTCAGAACTCGATGAGGGTGTTCCAGTGGATCGTGCAGACACCATTTCGAGCAGTCTTCGTTGGCGCCGTAGGAAAGGACAAATTAGGTGACCGCATCGAAAAGAGAGCCAGAGCCGATGGTCTGCAAACACTTTACCAGCCGAAAGAAGAGCTCCCAACAGGTAAGACACTTTGTTTTGAGTATTTTAGAATTTATTTTGAACCTATAAAACTCTGGCAACAAGGGGAATTGGCCTTATAAAATTTAACAAGTCTGGATCAATTATAAAACTTTGCAGAATACATTTTTAAAAACAAATCGAAATAACCAATCTAACTTTTATGCTATAAAATAATACAATTCTTTTATTAAACTAATATTTTAGTTTACTAATTAATTACTAACTAACTTAAATCTTTTGTGATTGTTTCTTAATCTATTTTAAATTGTATACCATATATATATTTTTTTAATATTTAACATTTTTAACTTTCGAAGGCTCCTGTGCAGTGATCATCAATGGCCCGAACCGCTCCTTGGTGGCCAACCTGGGGGCTGCCTCGCTCTTCTCGGAGGACTGGGTGGATGATGAGGACAATGAATGTGCCCTGGAACGCGCCGCGTACATCTACTTCACGGGATTCTTCCTGGCCGTGTGTTCTTCAGTCGTGGAGCGAGTTTCGAAGATGTGCTGCGAGTCCAATCGTATTGCGATCCTCAACTTCAGCGCCGTGTTTGTGCTGCAGATGCAAAAGGACGCCCTGGCTGAGATTCTTCAGTATATCGACATTATCATTTGCAACAAGGAGGAGGCTATTGCGTACGGAGACGTGCACGATTGGAAGACGAAGAATGTCTTCGAGATTGGCTCTCGGCTGCAAAAGTTGCCGAAGGCAAACGTTCGCCCACGCCTTGTGATGATCACAGATGCTGTGTGTCCGGTGCTCATCTTCCAGGAAAACGACCGAGTCCTTGAGTATCCAGTTCCAAAGGTAACCAAAGGCGAGGTGTTCGATACGAATGGTTGTGGCGATGCCTTCGTCGGCGGATTCCTGGCCATGCTTGTCCAAAAGATGCCCTTGGATTACTGCATCCGCACGGGTATATTTGCCTCCCAGCAGATCCTAAACGTAGTCGGAGTCCAGATCGAAAAATTGCCAAAGTTTAGCGAAAAGTGCATATAAATAGGAAATACCATCTTGCCCTTAAATAAATTTTCAGTAAAGTTCTAAGAATCTTTAGGTATTTTCAAATTCTCCGCCCATTCCAACAAACACGAACGTGTTAAGCCAAATAAATTCTTAACTAGATTACCAGATTACTCCTTTCCCTCCATAGGCTATCAATATAATAATTTAAGGACCAGCCCATGTTCGCCGGTCCTCCGGCACTTCCTTTAACCCGCACCTAGCGCCGGCAAAGGAGTCCTGCGGCTCTCGGTCTGCCTTTGGCTCCGGGAAAAATAAATACATTTAAATGTATAAAGCTCTCCTGCCGCCGAGCTGTGGTTCTGGGCGAAAGGCAAACAGAAGTGATGTAAAAATATGCGTTGCATACTTTGCAGCGCCAATGTAAATTTCCTCCTTCGTCCCGCCGGGAGGAGCTTTGTCTTTCGGGTCCTGGCGTCTGCTGCCTGCTGCCTGCGGCCTGCTGCCTGCCGGCTGTTGACTTTGGCCTGACAAAATATTGCTACCATTTCAGAGTCGAAGACGCAGACAACGCGTCCGGAGAAGCGAAGCCGGGGCAGCTGGACATGAGCACGTGCCAGCGGACAGTGGACCGGATTTTATGTGGCAATTATTTCCATTTTTAAGTTCGTAATATCCTTAAAGTTCATTTGGCAGTACAATTTAAGATTTTTAAGTAATATATTCTGTATACTAATTAACTGTTTTCTATCGGGACTTTTTTACGCTTGTTTATAACTTTTTCCGGCTCTGCAATGCGTTAGTTATGACCATCAGAGATTAAAAAGGGATTTAAAATTTCCATCCAACTCTTAAATACTTTTTAATTATTAAGAATTAAATATTTAACCACTGTCTAGGGGGAGTGCTGAGTAAAACGAAGAAAGGGACGGTGCAATGGCTGTCTTCCACTGATTAAAACGATGCGTCCTCGTGACAGCGATTTTTTCTCGTTAAATCCTTAAATGTCTCTTCGTTTATCGTGAGCTTTGTTTTTTAACTTTCGCAGCGTTTGCCTTGCTCTGGGAATTGACTTCGGCCGCTGGTCGAGCGACGGCAGAGCTTGAGCGATAATTTATGCATATATCCATGGTGATTTATGACATTATCCCTACCGCTTCTCCATCCACTCCCCCTCCAAACTGTGTACCCAATGGCTCAGCTCCTCTTTTCCAGCTCTCCGTTCTGGGACGCCGCGCAATTAGCCGAGGGAAAAATGAGCAGCAAACAGCGAGTCAAAAGATTTCCTTTGTCCAAAGTCAAACAACTTAAAGCTCAAACTCTGGCTGAGGCCCTCGATTACTTTGCATTCTGCAACCGCAAACTTTTGCGGCTGGCAAAAGAAGCGGAACGAGTCGAAACGAAAGGAGTCAAAACGAGCTCAAATCTTGGCTAGAAACTTTTCAGATTTGTCATATGCACATCTCAAAGCTAATATTCCGACACATGGCTCCTCGACCCGAGGGCCACATGAGATATGAGTTATGACTTAGGTGCGATCTCTCTCCTCAGTCGGAATCCGAGTTGACAGCTTAATTACGGCAGTCAGAGCCCAGACTTTGCACTCGACTCCGGCCGGGATTTTAATTAACTGGGCCGGAATTTTGTTGAAATCTTTGTGCGGGGCGAATACAAACTTAATTTATTGGTGCAGTTTCGGTTCAGTGAACAATGAAAGCCCGAATTTTAAGATGATTCTGACTAAATCATAAAAATATACAGACCATGCCACACGTTCAACTGAAAAGTTTATACTTTTACTTTGCTCGTTTTGCCACAGACTCGAGGCTAATTTATGCAATTAAGTGATTTAATTTGATTAGGCCGAACACAACAAAGGACAGACAAAGGCAAGGCAAAGCCAAATCGAGAGAGTAACTAAGGTAAAGAGGATAAGGCCGAGGGCATTTGGGCCCCTGGCAAATTGCACTTGTCATGTTCGTATAATTGCGTCTGCCCTTTGGGCTCGTAGAAGAAAACCAGACAGAACAGTTGGGGGATAACTCAGAGCAGACAACAAACAAACACGCGTGACGTGAGGCGATGCTCATAAAAATCACTCATACGCAATGGGGGACAGCGGCAATAGGAAGCTCCCAGCGAGCAGGACAAGTTTCAAATGCTACTTGTAACTTTGTTAGAACAGCCACCGCGCAGTAAATGTTGAGAGTTCCCCGCTTCGTGTTTGCGCTGCGAATGGCGAAAGTTTCTTTTCTGTGTTTTATACATTGTAGCCAGCCAACTGTCGGCCAATGCCAATGTCTCGTTATGAACCCTTTCGCCCAAGCTACCACCCTCCGCCCGACAGTTTCCTGCTCATTTTCCCAGTCAGTCAGTGAGACATTGTTCTAAAGCCACAATCGCACAATAAGCTCTTCTGCACAGTGAAAAATAAAAACAATAGAGCGAAGAGAAGAAAATGTTGTCTTATTGTTTATATTTCCAGGTACACGTGATATTCTCAGAGCAAATATCCTATTTGATTTAATGGCTGAGTGCGCCTTATGAAAATGAATACATTATCAACATCGTTTGTTTAATAAAAATAACATAAATTCTAGGCAGCCATTTTATGGAAGTGAAGTTATTTCAAGCAACTACTGTATATCAAAATAAACAAAAAATTACAATTTCCATTAAAAGTATGGTAATCGCTTTATCTATTAAATATGGAGATTTATTTAAGGAGCTTTGAATCATTAAAACTTATCTATATTAATTTTTTCCACATTGCAGAAATGGACTCTTTATTTTTTTACAGTGTCCCTCATCTTGAGCACTGATAACCAATGCCATTGTGCGTATTGTTCCGCTCTGTTTGTCTGCCGGGAGTTCACTACATACGTATATGTGGTAGCTTGTGGATTATGTGAAATTATCGAAGATTTCCGGAATAATGGCGAGTCGTGTCGTCTGCTAATGCCTGACATGGCTTCGTCCGCGGCCAATGATTTCCAGACCCGAGTGAATGGAATCGAGCTGAAAGCACTTTCATTACATGTCACAGCCACATGGCGGATATTAATTGGAGACTTAAAGAGCAGAACCATTGTGCTAGCTTTCATATAATATTGGCGTGTTTTTGAAGGAACTTTAAGGCTATCCGCTGTTCTTGCATTTCCATTCCCCCGAGCAGCATCAATTGCAAAATGTCTGAGTCATTTGCATAGAGTTATTCCAGGGTTTTGCGAAGGGCGGACGGGCTGAGTGGCTGGTGGTGGTAAAAGTTTTATGTTAGCAACGAAGAACGATAATTTGCAGCAGTTACAATATTTCATGGAATATCTCTTGGTTTTTTATTCTTATTCTTTTTCTTCTTTGCCGCAAAACGCAAAACTTCAATAAAGTAACGGCAATAAAAAGCGAAAAAGATTTTTCCGTTGCTTTATGGCGAGATCAATATTTTGACAACCGCAAAGTAACACAAATAATAGACAAATTTTCATTCTGTTTGTGTGTGTGTGTGTGTTTGTGTCTGTGTGTTGCCATAATTTCATCTGCCAAATGTCGCTGTCTGAAGATTTGTCAATTGAATAAATTGTGCAAAATATATATTCCTTCTTTTGTAAGTAGTACATTCGAATATACATAAATAAATATGCAATGCGACTTGCAGTTGTTTGATTGGGTTCTGGAGTTGCTGCTTTTGTGGCCACTCAGCGCTAATGGACTTTAAAGTGTGTTCTCAAGCGTTCATTGCCACAATCCTTCCCAAAAAGCGTCGTCGGGCAATGGATATCTACAAAGTTTCTTCGAGTTCCCTCGGCTTGCATTGTTGTCACCATATCACGCATACGCCCCGTTGCAGTGCCACACTGAACCAAAAAGCAAGTCGAGCTGGTTGGAAGACATCCAAGTGCAGCCCCAATTTCAATGGGCGACCCGATCCACGAGCAGCTGGCCAAATAATGAACTGCCAGCCAGCCAACGCCAATAAGAACAGCAACCCAATCACAATTACACTCCCCAGCAAAAAGTCTTTGGTGGCCCGTTGTCTTTGTTTTTCCAATTTCGTAAATGGCTTTCATGCATGTGCGAACGACTGTGTGTTAATTAGCAATATCAAGAGCACTTAAATTTGGTACAGATTATAACACCAAAAGTTTCTGCTTCCCACCCGGATTGTGTGCTCTTTGTTCTGGCATTGAGTTCAATTCTCAAGTTGCTCATTTCGTGAGCTGGCTGATTGTGTTTGTGGCCGAGTCGGCTATTCGATTGCCAAGTTTTTGGCCATTTTTGCAGCAGCTGGAAATAGTTAGCTGTGGGCTGAAGATTTGAACTCCGGCCATTCCGTGGCGATGGCTAGAAAGCATTTGAATAATTCCGGACTGGGCCACTTCAAAGGCTTGACCAACTGAAGCTCTCAGCTCATTTAAACTGCATCAGGCAAGAAATGTCTGAATCCAGCCATCAAAAAGGCATTACCACAGTGGGAGAATAAAAAAGGGAGGCAAAGCGACTGAAGAAAGAGAGCTAAATGCGCATTTAACAATAAATGAGCAACGTTTTCGGAAATTAACTTTCAACAACATGTGTTGAAATGCATTTATCTTCCGCTCCTCTAACGAGTCCCAAGCAAAACTCACTGGAGCAACTGGGCAGAAAGTTGGGAAGGGGGGATTACACAAAGTAGAGGTGGAAATTAATTTGAGCGCAAGAAAAAGAAGTGGAAATTATGAGTGGCTGCCAAATTGTGCTAAATGAGCCCAGGCAAGTGGAAATTAAAAGCGAGCCCAGTACAGGAACAGTGTCCTAACCATTTCCCCCACCACTTTCCGTTCCCCCGAGGCTTTGGGTCTGGTCCTGGAGCCACTTGCATTATGATTGCATCATTTGGGGCTAATTTGCATTTAAATACTTGGCTCTGTTATTGTTCGAGTGCAGCAGGAAAACTTTTCGCAGGACCAGGAGAAGGCGGAGTACGTGGAGCAGGGAGCAGGGAAAAGGGAGCAGGAACAGCAGGAGCAGGAGTTGGAACAGCCAGCCAGCCCTGGGCACCTCGCACAAAGTTATGCCAAGTCAAGGATATCACGAAAATTGTCCTGGTCCTGCTCCTGCTCCAGCCGAGGCGGGCCGGACAACTTCTGTTAATGCGTTTGAATAATGAATGGGAGCGGCTAGCGGGTCTGGGGGATATGGGTCCTAGAAGGGATGGGGTAGTTCCGTGCACCTTGCACTCGGCGCATAATCCCGCAGTCCTTAGCAGATAACAATGTACAAACTGGCGCCGACGGCGTCCAGTCGTTGATGGTCATTACTTAAAGCGTCCGTCCAATGCAGCGCGAAAGCCATGAACGGCGAATGAACTGGAAAAAAATGCTAATCCTACAAATAATAACATAATAATTGTAACACTTTACTATATTGAATTAAATAATGGAACATGTTTACAACTGGTTAGGTTAATATTTAAAAAGAAAACATCAGGTTATTATATGGTCTTACAATAGTTTGAATTTATGAATGAAAAATATAAAAGCTTCTACTTTATTTCAGAGCAATTCGACCACTCTTAATACCTTATATATCAAACTAAGTACTCTACTTCTAGAACGGTTTCTCAATCAGTGTAATTAAAAGTAATTTTCCTAACGGAATCGTAGATATTGTAATTATCTGACCAAATGAATTTATTTAATTATGTATCACAGAACTTTTACGTAACTTTCTGTGATTGGCAGTGAGTTTCCTTCGAGTGTGGGCAAGTGAGAACTGCCGGCCATCTGCCTGGTGTAAAGTAAAGCGAAGATTTATTGAATGGCAAATGAATCATTTCTCTCTCTCTCTCTCTCTAGTTCTCTCAACTCTTTGGCGCTGAAACCTGCTACCAGATATGCCACTCCCCCTTACTTCACCCCCCGCCCCGTCCTTCATTTCGTCGCACTTTTAATAACTTCTATAAAAGTTTTATGTCTCTTGGTGGCAGCAGCAAACTTGCATGCTGCTGCAACAGAGCAAAAAGTTTGCGTGTGTTTGGCACTTGAAACTTTACTTTCGCGGGATCAAAATGTGCTGGCTGAGGGGAAAAACGGAGAATTTATACATACATATATATATAGGTATTTATATGCAAAGCAAAATCGGTGGAAAATAATCGCGTCAAGTATTTAAAGTGGCATTAAAAATATTGAAAAACTCGATAAATAGTTGTTAAGTTCGCTGCTGTTGCTGCCAGATAATCCGCCCAAGGGGGAGATCTCCTCATGCAACGGTGCGTATACGTGTTTCTGCACTTTATAAGTGGCTCCAGCTGGATTCGAATTTGCCCTGCCCTCCCAGTCCTTCCAGTCGCTTTGCTCTCGAGAGTGTTTGCCCTCGGACTTAAGGCTCTGCAAGTTGAATGAATTATGACCCCTGGCTAAGTGAGTGCTTTAGAGAATAATGCAGGGCATATAAATATTTAAACTGCAACTGGTTGAGCACCAAACATTGGGTAAAAAAAAAATAATACTACTAAAGGAAGCCATATCGATTGCACAGAAGTTCTGGGTTGCTGTGTCACAAGCCAAACAGTTTCCTTGGGAATTTATGTGGGGCAAATATTTGAACAGGAATTGGTTTAGCATGCGGTCGGAGTTTCCGCCCGGCTTTCACCGCAAATGAGTTTGGCAGAGATCATACAAGATTTCGATGCGTTCAATTAATTTCATTCATTGCGCCAATTACTTTTGCGGTGAGAGGCATCTGGCAGATGGAACGCGACAGGCGTCCCATGGCAGATACATCTCAGGTGACGACGCTGCCGATGGGGGAGGCAGCTTATTCGGTTCAGGCAATTGATTTGCCAATTTGCCAAATAAACAGACTCGAGAGAGCGAGTGCTGCACACTCGAATACGACGTGTATTTGCCTCAGTGCGCCAGTTTATCAATTACCGACACATCGAAACGCAAGACAGACAGTTGGGGCAATTGAAAACTGCATCTCGGGCAGCTGCTAATTGGGGTCCATCTCCACAGTTTTAATTAGCCAGCGCAGCTGAGTGATTGCCCAAATGAATGGATACTTATGTACCTTTCCGTGTCATTCGAATCTGGGGCAGTTATCAGTCGACAACTGTGCAAACACGTGTTTTTTTGTTCGAAACTCTTGGGTATCTTTCGGTGGGGCAGAACCCCCAAAAAGTTACTCTAAATTGGCTTTTTTTCTGCCTTTAAAACGTGAGCCTCTTTAGCTCAGTGGCAGAGCACTGGTCTTGTAAACCAGGGGCCGTGAGTTCAATTCTCACAAGAGGCAAGGTCGTCTGGACTTTTTTGCATATTTTCTTCCCGTCGCCCCAAACTATTTGCTGATTCCAGCATATTTCAAGCTTGATTGAACTGCTGCAGCCTGGCTTTCGGGGCTCCTCAATCAGGAGTTGACGTTTTCGATATTTGACTTATGCAGGCGGGGGGATCGTTGCCGTCGTCTTCCGAACTCCCGTTCCTCCGTTTAGACAAGTCAATTGACTGACGGCTGCGATTTCGCGTCGCATTGCTGCTTTCACGGAATTTTCAGCTGAAACAGTGGTCGAAACAGTAAATTTTATTAATTTAAATAATCGACTTTAAACAATGTTAAATTACCTTCTTAAAAAGCTATATTATCCAGATTTGAGTCTGTTTTGATTATTATGAAATGCAAGAAAAGAATTTAGAGTATGGCTACTTAGTTTCATTTTATGGTTTTCAAATCACGTTTTGCTTGTTATGTTATATTTCAATTGATAATTGCACACCTATCCAACCGAGGATTTTTAATATATTCAATAGGGCATATTAAAATAAATATAGATTATACCATTTTGTATATTATTAATAAATAAATGCAGAGGATTTCAAGCGGAACAACACACCCTTTACACCTACAATTCCTAAAAGATAAATTGAACATTTTGCCCATCTCCTGATTCCCCGCGCACCGAGATGCAATAATTTGTGATGCCGTTGACGTTTGCCACTCCCCCCCCCTTCCCCTCCCCCTCGTCATCCCCCTCCCCCTCCCCCTCATCATCCCCCTCCCTGCACTCCCTCCCATTTGACGGACGCCCACAAACACACGCACAGTGAGTGAACCGCATGCCGAACGATTCACTTCCGCCGAGATCCTTTGGCAACTTCATCATGCGCATATTCACAGTTCATAAAACCGAATATGGGGAGATGAGGGGGAGGGGGAGGAGGAGGGGGGTGGTGGAAAAAGGGGGTCAGCGGGGGCATGTGCGACGGCACTGACAGCGGCTCAGCAAATCGAAATAAAAATTTATGTGCACATGTTTGAATTTATTGCCCGTCTTTGGGTGCCCGCTATCCTCGCACGGATTCGATGGATTCCACGGATCCACCGAATTGGGGGCCAGAGGATTGAGATCCGGGCAGAGATTGCGGGTCCTTCGTGGCGCTCGCTTGCGTGTGTAAATGTTATTCAATCGAATGTGAAATCATATGAGCGCTTGCTCTCCACTCATAAACATTTTATTTACCTTTAATTTCGTGAAAAGCTTCTTTTTGTGCGGCCCCCGTGATTTGGCACCCGGAACCCCCACAGATGGTGCCTACCGTCCCCATTCCATTTCTATGCGTGCGATTTTTATGACTAAATAAAATGATTTTTTACCCCGGGAGGGTGGAGTCACGGCCCTCGACGCAAAATGGCAATTCTTTGTTTGCCCAATGAAAGTGTTTAGCCATAAAGAAGCAGCGACACAATTCCAGTTGAGTTATGGCCCCAATGCCCGCCCAAACTCACACAATATTTTTATAACCAAATTGATGGGATGGCAACGGTAATCAAATGTTGTCGGCAATTGTTTTTTGAATGTTACTTTAGGCTGTGGGGATTTCAGAGAGATTTGTGACGTGTTATTGGTCAAGGGAAACAGAAATAGCTGCAGGCAATTTGTTAGACAAAAGTAGAGTTTTGCGCAATCAAATCCAAATTTCAAATCTATTTCCCACTACAATTCAACCTAACAAACATTTTTTTTATATTAAATATTTTTGGCTAATTCGAATAACACAAATAAACATTCAAAGCTTTGGTTTGACATCAGTTGTTAACAGTGAGACGCCCAAATACTTTATGCTTTTTGCACATTTTATACCCTTGCATCGGAAAGTTATTCCACGATTTTATACATTTGCATTTTCTATATTTGATAAGAATAGATCAATATTATTCTGAGTAGCAAGGGTTTTGGGAGACTTTCAAGTGGCACTTTGACGTGCAAATATCAACAAAAACTCAGAAAGTCTCCCCAGCTTAAAAACTAAGACAAGGCTAGATTATTCCAAACAAGAGCGCGGGCGGTTGTCAGTTTTTCTTGGACAGGGCGACGAAGAGATCGCGGGCGTATCGGCGGACAGCCTTTCCGTTGTGGTTCTGGGGAATCTCGTCCGCGAACTGAACTCCAGCGCGCAACTGTTTCTGGATGTCGGGCAGTCGCTTTGCCACGTAGTCGATCACCTGCTGGGCAGTCAGAGTGGCATTGTCCTCCTTCACAACCAGAGCTCCGGGAACATCTCCCTGGGTCTCATCGTACACTCCGATCACGCACACCCTCTTGACCTCCGGCATCTCGTCGATGACCGCCTCCACTTCGGCGGGCCACATCTGCAGACCCTTCCACTTGAGCACCTCCTTCTTGCGGTCCGTCATGTAGAGGTAGTCGTCCTCGTCGAAGTAGCCCATGTCTCCGGTGTGGAACCAGCCCTCCTCGTCCCGCATCTTCTTGGTGGCCTCGGGATCGGCGAAGTATCCGTTCCAGTTGAAGCCGTTGTGCACAACGATCTCTCCAGTCTGGTTGACTCCCAACTGGTTACCATCGTCGTCAAGGATCTTAATCTGAATTCCGGGCAGCGGATTACCTGCAGCTGTGAGCTTCAGATGTCCGTGGTTGAACACGATGAAGCCAACCTCGGTCATTCCGTACGAGGAGTTGAGTACGCCATTGGGGGCCAGTTTCTTTATCCGCTCCACCGTGTTCTGTGTCATTCGTCCGCCTCCGAAGTTCAGCTTCGTCAGACTTGCCATCTTCTCTGGAGTTGCAGTGGGACAGTCCAGAAGGGAGCAGCAGTGCTCCGGCGGAATGAGGGCATAGGTGATTTTGTACTTGCTCACCAAGTGCACAAAGTACTCGGCAGCAAAAGGTTTGCTGCTGATGATACGAGTGCAACCATTCACAGTACTGAAGATTGTGGCCCACAGCCCGGTGATCCAGTCCAAACTAGCTGAAATGTAGATCGTGTCGTAGCCATTCATGAAGCTATATCGAAAGAGAAAATATTTTTATTTTTATCAGATTAATAATTTAAATAAATTATTTAGTTTGCGTGGCTTTATCACTAAGCCACCGAAAAAACCTCAACAAATTTTAGATAAGGCGCACTTTTTTTTTAACACTTATCTTTCATTCATTAAAAGAACGAAAGGTGAGCTCTTTAAGTTCTTTGAGATTAAAATGCGTAAGTGCTTAATAGTCATTATATAATACTTAAAAAGTTTTCAAAAACTTACATTGTCTCCTGGCTCAGAATATCGTTAGAGATGCACACAGCCTTTGGCATTCCAGTGGTTCCGGATGAGGTGAGGATAGCCACTGTCTGCCCGGGTCCCTCCTTCAGCGGAGTTGGCCTAGTAAGAATCAATCATGTATATAATAACCGATATCTAAAAGAACTATGTATCCCACACTCACTGGTAAAAGAACTCGGTCTTTGTAGGATGAAGCAGATCCTGAATGCTGAGGATACCTTCCTTAGTTCCAGTGGTTAGAATAATCTCTGGCTTGAACTCCTTGGTAGCCGAGTATAATTTGTCGTAATGGTCAGCATCGGTAAAGATGATCTTTGGCTTGGAGATAGTGTACAAGTGCTTCAGGGTAGCTGCGAATAGTAAACATTTAATATATTTTAAAGGTTATCAGAATTAACTGGTTGATTAAGTAAATATTTTTAAATTGTTCGTAAAAATATGTACTACTTGAAACTAAATTAAAAAACAGGTGATATACGTACATTCTTCGAGGATCGGGTTGGCAGACTGGAAAGGTGTTCCGTGGAAGAAACAAGCAACGGCGATGGGCATTATGTAGGTAGTGTTCTTGGCGGAGATCCCAATGATATCCTTGTGATCAAGCCCGCGGCTCTTCAAATGCTGGGCAATGCGAATAGCCCAAGTGAGAGCCTGCTGGTAGGTGACCTCAACGCCCTCGGAATCCGAAATCTGCAGAGCCACAACATATCAAGGAGGTCCTGGGTAAAATCCTCGTGCTATGAAACTCACCTGGCACACATTCTTGGGCCAGTTCCTCATGTTCCTGAAGATAATACGTCCCAGGGAAGTTTCCGGCTTGAAGGGACTGCTCTGCGGAATACCCTTCCAAATCTTCTTCTCCGCATCGTAGCTGCAAGGCAACTTGGACATTTTTGCTGCAATATGACTGAAATGCACACCCGAAAGATCGACCACTATCTGTGGAACTAAACGCCCGGTGGGCCTCTTATAAAGACAGGGATCCACAAATGGCTTATCTGCAGACGATAAGCAGGGCCTAGGTTAAGTGCAAGGTGTCAATGAAAGATAAAAGTCGCAAAGTTGACCACACGAGTGGCGTTTATGCATATATTCATAAAAACTAATCAAATAACGAGCGATCGGTTCTTTAATTGAAGGGTGTCTTAGTCGAGATATGAGTTATTAAATTTTAGCTTCTTCGTCAATGGCAACAACCCATCCCTAATTGTCAAACTATTTTATCTTTGTTCCGGGTTTTACCGCGTGAAACATATTTGTAAATAGAAAACCCTTAATCCAAAGACTAGATACGGTTACTTTGTATTCCAAATATTACGCAAATGCTTTCACTTTTTAAAGGGTATCTTAAATTCGGTAAATGCGGTTTGGACTTTGAACCATTAATGGCTCATGGCTCCTAAATGCGTGATATTAAAATTAAAATGGAAAGTTTGCGTATTTATTTCCAACACTTAATTAGTCACTAGATATTGACACGCGCTCTCAGTATGTTTTCTTAAGGCCATTTCTATAGCCTATTCTGCCGGCATTTTGATATGAATACAACATGATATCCCATTCAGCAGAGCCATGATAAGTCAGTAAATTCCCCCAAAACGAAATGTACCCAATTCAGTGCAATTTAATGGGTTTTCTTTAGCCCGGCTCCCAGCGCTTTCTTTACATCTTGCCTTTTATTTTCCCTTTTTTTCTGCGCTGCGGCTGACAAAAAGTTGGTGCAGCGAAAACGTTATTTAAATACCTTGGCGAAAAAGTTCGCTCGCAAGATATTTGCAAACATCTGTTTCCTGATTTTCCAGCAATGGCAGCCGGCAGAGAAAATCAACTTTCCGTTCCCGGTGGCACGTGAACTAAAACCAAATTCTGTGGCAAGGCTGCCGATGATGAAGTTCGGCTTTGGGCGAAGTTCCGGCTACAGCAGACCTGTGGTTGCCTTAACCAGGAATGGTTTTTAACTGGGCGAATATATGTGCACCTGGGCAGCGTGAAAAACACGTCATTTAAACTTTCTTTTTATTGCATTTTTAATGAAAAACATTTAAAATAACACCTGGCAAGTATGTAATACTTATTAGCGATCGGGCCATCAAAGCAGAAGCAAATCAATTCGATTGGCACTCCTCCTTCAGATCTGAGTGGGCTTACATTATTGTTGTCATGTGTAATTAAAAAATAAGTGCCTAGAAACTAAGCCCCTGCCTGCAGTTCGGGCTTAATGGAGTTGGCTTTGTGCGCTTTCGATAAGGTTTCCATGGTGGCTTATGTACCCGACATTACAGACACTGCACTTTGATTTGCTCGGCGTAATCTTATCGGGCTTTAGCCTTAAGTAGGGAATTAATTTTCCCAGCAAAAACTATCGTAAGCAGACGTCACAATTGGAGGGAATTACCTAAAACCAGAGGAAATGGAATTTGATAATCGGGACGGGGTTATCTAAGGGTATTCCATAGCATGATATTGCCGGAAGAGTTCCCTTTTCGGGGAATGAATAGAATCATTTTGTGTCGCTGCGGCTCTTGTTCGATTTTTGGGAAACCCGTGACTTAAGGGCCGGCCAGTTGGAAGATATTCGCGGTCCCAGTGAGTTGGGTATTCTTATAGCGGCTAACTAGCTAACTGGGTAACTGGCTAAGGTAGTTGTTTGGCTTTCCCGCCCAGTGATTCGACCATCCGTCGGGTTTCCTTTATTTTCTTTCCGTGAATTGCTGGCTGTGCAACTTATTCGCATTCTGTTGCAGGAACTGCTTTTTGCTACAGCTCCACCTCTTGCAGTTCAGTGTGTTATTATGCACTGGTTTTTCCTTTTCCCTAAAATTTTTTTTTCTTTTGCCTTATTCTATGTCTCTTCTTTTTGGCCCTTTTCCTTTGGCTGCTTTTCCTTCTGCTGCCGCTGCTGCTGCTGCTTGCTGCACACAAGTTTTTCATTTGTAATTCAAGATGTCAGTCAGCTGGGAGAACCAAAACTTAATTAAAGTTCCGCACTTTTACAGAGCCAACTCCTTAGTTATCCCGGCTATCTCTCTCGCTTTTCCGTATGTATTTAGCCACTCCCAGAAAGTGCGCCCGTTTCGTTTAAATTCAAAGTGTCCGTCTGTCCGATTTCTCCTGCTCCAGTTTTTGCACCTGGGGGCTTATCTTTCAGGTGCAAGTTTCGCCTGCCGCACCTGCAGCAAATGTCCGGACTTGCGACTTTGTTGGCCTCCCCTCCGGATACGGGTCATCCACCGAAAAAAAAACCAAGCCCCGGAGCATGTGTGAGCGAAATTTTATGAGCTTATTTCATACTTTTCACTTCTGATTTGGTTTCAGACTAGCAGACTCGCTTCCATGTGCAGATTTCGACTTGTTGAGTTCTCCCCGGCTCGCTGCTTTCAGTTTCATCGGGAGATATCGGTTTCACTCACGGCTCCCCGTATAAAACATCTAATTTAATTAGCTGACACAGACGGGTGTCCTCTCTTTTTTCCATCTCTGATATTCGCTGTACCTGCAAACTGCTGGGGGAAAATTGGGGATGTCGGAGAAAAAGCTGCAGAAAAAGTCGAGGGACTCATTAGGTATGCATTGAGTTTCCAGTGTCCGGTGGCAGCGACCGAGAAACTTTTTGATAACCGTAATTAGCATATGAAGAAAATCAGACTCGGACACTTTTCTTTGGAACGCAGACAGGTGGAAAGCCGTTAAATAAATTCCATTATAATTAGGAGTCATCCTGGTGAAGTAATTAAAGAAGTACTGTAAAGAAATTATCAGACAATGCGATCTTATTGAAAAGGGTTTTTATCTTTGGTTTGTTTTCAGTATATAATGCTATTAGTTAATGCCTTAAAATCTTACATTCATTAACTATGTAGTCGTATGCTTATACAAACAGACTAGCAAAAAAAGAGAAAAACCACAAGTTAAAATAAAAGTTAAACGAGCCATATAAATCAAAGTTAATTTATTGGATACCTACAATTTGCGTTTCATTGATTCATCCCTCTCTTGCCCATTTTAATAAATCTATAATTAATTCAGTTTTTCCCTTGGACATCTCCGTATTTAAACGGTTTCTGCCTTATTCAATCTTTATGTTCTCTGCATTCTGCATACATTAACGCTTTCAATCGCCTCAATGGCCAATTCTTTTCGATTGAAATCCTAAAATCTCTCTTAGCCCAAGTTATCGCCCTCGATTCTCGATGCATCTATAAATATAGTCGTGTTGCACCGCCCGTAGCCGAGGGATTCGCCACTGAGCCGCGGGATTATCGACGTGTTGCCTTCCATTGGACACTAACCAGAAACGCGAGAAGTGGCCAATGTCAATGCCGTGGCCTTGGGGAAAGGGGAAAGGTGGGGCAGGTGGAACGGGTAACGGTAATGGGCAAATGCAAATTCAGAAACCGAAACAGAATCGGATGAAAGTGGAACAGGGAACAGGATGGCGGGGAAGCACTACAAAATAATCCAACAGTCGCCGCGAGAGAGAACCACTTCCCATTTCTTCCGGCCACAGAGAGAGGTGCCATGGCGATGATTAAATCAGTTAAGAGCCATTGGCCATTGCAGCCAGTTGTTCTCTGCCCGGGGCCAAGTCCCCCTGGCCAACGCAGCCACCTCCCCAAAAACATTCCCTTCCGCTTTCCGCCTTCGGCTGTTGCGCTTTTTCTGTTTTGCTCTCGGCGTTTATTTCGGCCCTCTTTTCCTGGCCAAATGATTTAATTTCATGCATTTCGCTTTGCGGCAATGGCGATGCTTATTAGTTGCAATTTGCCAGCTGCGGCCAAAGTTTGCTCTTGCCCAAAAACCAACAGCAAGCCCATAAAACCAAACCAAATACTTTTAATAATTGCTGTCCTAAGAAGTTTACGGAATGGGTAAAAATAAAGGAGGAGGCGGCGGAGGAGGAGGAGGTGGAGGAGGGGGTGGAGGAGGCGGCGGCGGCAATGTAAGCAATATTTGTGTTATGCAACTAACTAACTAATTGTGAGTCTAACTGTTATAATCTACATCTTAGTGCTTATTAAGTTTGCTTCAGTTCCAATCGAAAGTAACTACAAATATTTAAAAACAAAATGTAGAACTGAAAAACAAGTACAAATAGTTCTCTGCTGACTAAGAAAATTTGTTTATATGTTAGTGAAATGCCAAAAAATAAATTAAATTAGTCATCGAAGTATTCGTAGAAACTAAAACCTATCAAACTATTAAAAATATCCCAGGTCAGCAAATAATTGCTTAGAAGACAATTACATTCTTTGACGCGCATTATGAAAATCATAATTAATTTTTCTCAGATTTTTATGTAATTAAAGAACGGCTAACCCCTTGCAGCCAGGGTCTCTCCACTGCAATCCCGGCACAACTAACCTTTTTCTCATTTGCTGACTTTGCGCCACAACTTTAAACAACCGTGGCTCGTTATTTGCTTAGTCCCAACTCAAAGAGAAATCTTTCCGTGTTTCTTTGCCCACAGAAAAAGGGCGGCGGTGGTGGAGGAGGCGGAGGCGGATCCGGAAATAAAAACAAAGGAGACGGCGGCGGTGGTGACAAAGGTGGAGCCAAGAAAGGACAAGACCAAAAGGCAGCCGCAGGCGGTGGCAAGAAAGGAGGCAAGAAATAGCAACGGTGGCAACATCAAAGCGCATTAAAAATTACAAATTTAGAGTTAAGTTGAAATTAAAAGTGATATCAGGGAATATGTATCTATAATGTATGTGACTCTCTAACAATTATTTGGCGGTGCCCGCTCGTTCTACAAATATGTTTGGATACAGGTTAAACATTTTGAATGCTCGACTAAACGTTGAAATGCCGGAGAGAACGGGTTCCGTTCAGCTCCCTTCCCTTCCCTTCCCTTCCGTTCTACGCATTCCACTCGGATGAACTTCACAGGCCACTTCATTCGACTCCTCTAGCGAAACCAGTCCTGGGACATCCCGAAGAAGGAAGCTGCGCTCGATTTGGATTTGCCACTGTCTCCCTTGCGGGCTCCATTGCCCCCCGTCGATTTCCTCGTCGGCGTTGTTGTCGCCATCTAAGGGTGAAAGTAGAGATAGAGGGATAAAGAGAAATGTTATTAATTAATTAGGACTATTAATTGGTAGTTTGGCTGATTAATCTGTTAATTTGCGGTTGGACTTTCAGATTTATGGCGAACAGCAAACGGCAAACCAAAAGCAGACACACATAATTAGAGAACGATTTATACCGGCGCAGATCGCAGCTAATTACTAAACATGCGAGTAACGACCAAGTAGCCAGCCGCGGGCATAAATTAACATTTGCCCAGCGATTTGATTTCAATAATTGCAGCGATTCATTAATTAGCATTTAAGGCACTCCTACACGCGTACATAATATATACCCAATCATTGTGCCGATGTTTTGGCCATCCACTTGGAAGTTTTGGTTTTGGTTTTCAAGAGAAACTTTTGCCAAGCACTTCTGGGCGAAGTGGAGAAGCAGCAGCAGGGCGATGGGTAAAAGGGAGGGAGAGAAAAGTTGCACCTAATTAAAATTTGTCTTGCGGCATTCTGGCTTATTTATTGCTGGATGGACCAAATTAGTTTAATTAAACTGCTGCTTCAGTTTGAAGAGGTTTCCAAATTTGGAAATGAAGCATCTAATAAGAGGAGGGGGCAAGTTCTGCTCTTTAAATATTGGTTAAATAGTTATTAACATGCAGCATGCAAACGAGGAATGATAACAAAATATCAACAATCAAATACCATTCCTACCCAACCAGAGTAAATGTTGAAACTATTTACTTAGGATTGCAATCGATAGAAATCCTAGGAAAGAAACATGGGAACAGATAATTATAACTCGATAAAGATTGTACGAGTCGAAATAGTTTAGAGGCTGTGGGTTTTTGGATCGATTAAATTATTTGATTTGCTTGTATAAATAAATGATTTACCAACTGTATAATTTTTTTGTTTAAAAAAAAAAACCAAAGTAAAACCTAATATATATTGTAACCCTGAACATGTAAGCAAATCGAACTCAAACTAATTATTTCAAAGATAAACCCGACAGCCCCGTATCTTATCAGCCATTCACTCACTTTCTCTGCTGTTTCCTGAACCGGGGCTTTCCGTTCGATGCCAGTGGTTCTTCCGGCAGCTTGGGGCATCACAATAGGCAACAGGGGGAACCAGAGCGACGTGGATCCGGAGGAGCTAAGGCACAGGACATTGGGATCTGCTTCGTGGGCCAAAGTACTGGCTGCCGTTGCGCCCTGAGTTGGAGCAGCGGTCGAGGGTGTCAGCACTCCCAGTTCGCCCTGAAGACGGCTCGAAGCTCTAGCCACATGCGCTGTTATGTGCTCGGCAAACAGCTCGAAGTCAAAGGGATCGATGCAGTCGCGCAGTTCGTTCTGCTGGGAGTGGATTTGTTCGTAGAGATTCCTCTCCTCACGAGTAACGGCAAACACACGTTCCAGGAACTTCAGATCGAAGTACAACTGCAGAGCAATGTTCTGGCTAGATTTTGTGCACTCCGCTCTGGCCAATCCCTGGTAGTGGGAAAGCAGTTTTCCCAAAAGCCGCTGGATGAAGGCTTGCAATACTTTAGGTGGCAGTGTTTGGGGAACAGCCTGGTTCAACGCCTGGATCAGCTGATGCAGATACGTTTGCAGAGAAAGACGCGGTTGGCTAGGAATGCGAATGGTAGACTGAACACTTTGCTCCTGGTCCTCGTCACGCTGCTCCAAAGTCAAAGTCTGCCACAGCTGTAAAGGAGTTCATTTATATTATAGGGAAATCTAACATATTATTCAATTACAATACCGCAAAATCGCTGAGAACAACTTCATGGTTAATAACTTTAGGCAGCTTCTCCTCGCAGTTGTGCCCAGCCAGCACATCGTCAACGATGAGCAGCCAGAAGGATAGCATTTCCTCTTCGATCAAACCGCAAATACGCTGCCAATGCTCGATCCCCAGTCCTGCGATGTTGTCAGTCCACTGCCGCCAACTTGAAGGCTGACAGAAGCATAGCTTCAAATTGGGGCACAGTTCCACCAAGGCCAAAGTATTTCTTAGTGCCAGGAGCAGAGCAGGGCGCTCTCTGAGTTGCAATCCCTTTAGGTTGGTTAGATACTCGGTCAGCTGCTCCTCGGCTGTCTCGCGCAGAAAAGTGATAAGCGATAGTTTATCCTCCGCCCGTGTTGTCTGCTCCTGTAGCATCACATTCAGCTCCTGGACGATATCAGCAAGATGAGAGTCAAAGCGTTTGCACAGCTCCATGGTGGCGCCATCGTAGCCCTTTGTGCGGTTAGCCAGCCGCTTTGGTTGATCACTTAGCGCCGCCGCCAAGCTCAAAGGCAGATCCTCGCTCTGCTCTCGCCAAATTTGTTTCGGCGACTGTGGTTGTCCGGCTTCGATGAGCGAGAGCACCTGCTCGTAGGTCTGCTTCATGGCTGTGGCCCAACTGCTGCGGATGATCTCTCGCACTCTGGCATTAATCAACGGGACGTACTTTCGTACGTAGAAGTCCAACTGACTGTGCTTCAGATGCAGCTGCTGTTCCAAGCGGACGAAGTCCGGACGACCGTTGGCCCTGGCCGCCGTTTTGATGTCCTGGATGGTCTGCATGTTGCTGACCAGGGCGAAGACCTGCTGCAGATGAGCTGCTGCCAGGGCGTTCATCTTATCCAGCCACTGCTGAAGGGAAGCGCCCAGTTGCTCTGGTGTAAGCTGAGGCACCTCAAACTGCGGCTTGAAACCAGCTATGATTTCGGGCAAAAGGTGAGCCAGCTGCCGCTCGCTGCTCTCCATCCGGTTAATGCTGGGCGGGCATGTAGGCGAGGAGCAGTCGGCCAAACGGGTGAAGAGGAGGCTATCACCTGTGGGAAAATTACCATTATTATAACACAGAAAGTACTAATAATATACATAAGAGTAGGCGCAAATGTTTTGTAAACATCTAACTGATTTTTTTACACTCATCAAGACTACAAATGTCGGACTCTTCTCTTAAACTAGCCAGGCGTTGTGGAGTCAAAATAGAAGGAGCACTCCGACTCCTTTGCTCAGATAGGTATACGGACAAGTTACAGGAAAAGTCCCATGATAGTCGCATTGAGCGCGGTGACTACTATGGCATATACTTCCTGGACAAACAGCCAAGTGTTTACATCGTGCTCTTTCACAACCGCCCCATACAACATTGCCTTACTCTCTGGCCCACAAGTGGTGCGGAATTCCGGTGCTTTGACGGAATCGACAAGAACTCCACTTTGGTCAGTCTGGGGAAAACCGACTATGTGACCTGTTTGCAGCACCAGTCGACCTACACCAACAATCTTTTAGAGGCGTGTGGGGTCAGGTCTTCAGGTCCCCATCCTTTGGTCACCGTAATGCATTACCGATCAGTCGAAGATACCCAAATTGCGGCCGCTTCTTCAGCCAGTGCCCTGTTTCAATGGGAGTGCCTTTTGGTACTCCTTATTCTCTCCGTGTTTTTGTGCCTGTTATTTAGGTTTCGTCATTAAAAAGGTTCTTACCCAGCAAACATTTGTCCAGCAGATCCACGGTGCTGTTCAGAACGCTCAAACTGGCCAGGATGCGCTCCTTAACTCGACGTGCGTCGGACGGTCGGCTCTGCAGGCAATTAAGAAAAGCGGAAGAGCGCAAACCGAGAAAGGTTTTTAGCACGGCACTTAAGTCGCTCTTGTCCAGCAATAAAAGGCTCTGTAGGCAATCCACGGCCATTTCGGGAAGAAGTTCCTCCCTCTCGAGTGCTGCCAACACTGCCTGCTTAATGGTAACGTGGAAGGGACGCAGGATCTCCCATTGCTTGCGGGCCACCGGTAGCTTCTGCATCAGGGCACTTTGGCCGTCCAGCTGCAAGCCTGTGCTGATGTGCCGGCTAAAGATAAACAGCTCGGTGGCGGCATAAAACCTGTCGTTGTCCAGGTGCGTCCAAATGAGTTCCGGCAACGCGGTAAGCAGCTTAATCTGGGCCATGGTACCGTAATATGTCTGCAGCTTCCTTCCGGCGTTTCGTTGCTGCAGTGCCGCTTCCTTGGGATCCGCAGTTGTGGTGGACTGGAAGCCCAGGAGCTGCTGCTCATTAAGACTGCGGCAGTTGGCCTGCACGTGACGCACTTGCTCCATAAGCGTACCTGCCGACGTCTGCATAGCCGCAATGGTGTCCGCCGCCTGCAGGAGGTCCCTGTACCGCTCTCTAGGGGATTTAATAATATTTTTAGTTTGGAGTTCTAGGTTCTGGGGGTGCCACATCACATCACTTACCCGACATGGGTGCGCAGCTCCTCACGCTTGTTCTCCACCTCCGTCTGGATTTTCTTGTGCACCAAGTCAATATCGGACACGCTGTACTTTTCGAACAGCATGTCCACGTCCAGATTTAACAGATTGGTCGTCATTTACTCGGATATTGAATTTTTAAAAACAATAACAGAGTAATCAATGTGGCAGCGTAATTAGTGTGACTGTGGCTGGATTGCGCAAATATACCTAAGCCGTGTTTATCGATGATTCTCCATTATAGCCCGGCCGTTACACAAGTGCAATATTAAAACATGAAGTTATTAAAATATAACAAAATAATATATATATAAAAAATAATATATATATAAAAAATGGTAATTGTTTACAAGTGCGGTGCACGGTAAATACAGCTTACAAAAATAAAGTAAAATATGGAAACGATGTAGTTTTTTCTAAAACTTCTAAATCCGTTGGCGGAGAGTGAAAATTTTGCACCGTTTCTTTGTTATTAACAATTAAAAATTCGATTTGTAGTACAAATTCGGATCTGAGAGACCGTATTTGCATGTGATGTGCCGATTATTGCAGTCGTCTGGTGGCGGTTTATTGCAAATACGGTCTTTCAGATCCGAATTTGTACTACAAATCGAATTTTTAATTGTTAATAACAAAGAAACGGTGCAAAATTTTCACTCTCCGCCAACGGATTTAGAAGTTTTAGAAAAAACTACATCGTTTCCATATTTTACTTTATTTTTGTAAGCTGTATTTACCGTGCACCGCACTTGTAAACAATTACCTTTAATTGACACTTCAAAATGTATAATTTACATAAAGTTTTAAAAAATACATATATTTTATTAAATGCATTTGTCTGGCATGAGGTAATAACAGCAATTAAGTAAAATAACAGGGGTTTGTCACATGAAAGTAAATGCAAGTTTTCTGGCTTTTCGGGCTCCAATAAGATAATGTACAATCACTCGCTGCCCAATTCACGTAAAACAGCGTTGGCAATGACGATCCTTTGGATCTCCGAGGTTCCCTCGTAGATCTCCGTGACGCGGGCGTTACGGTAATAGAGCTCCGCTGGAAGGTCAGTGGTGTAGCCCATCCCGCCCAGCACCTGGATGCACTGGTGGGCACAATAGGTGGCCGCCTCGGAGGCATGCAGCTTGGCCATGGAAGCCTCCTTGGTCATGGGCAGTCCGTTGTCCTTCAGCCAGGCGGCACGCCAGGTGAGCAGCCGGGAGACCTCAACGCGAGTGGCCATGTCGGCCAGCTTCTGCTGGATGAGCTGCATCTTGGCTAGCGGCTTTCCGAAGGCCACCCTCTTTTGGGAATAGTCCACGGCCAATTCCAAGGCGGCTTGTGCGATTCCCGTGGCCTGTGCGGCAATTCCAATCCGACCGCAGTCCAAAGACTGCATGGCTATCTTGAATCCATCGCCGGGTGCTCCAAGAACTTGACTTTGTGGCACCTGGACATCCTCCAACACCAATTGGCAAGTCGAGGTGGCCCGCATGCCCATCTTGCTCTCTTTCTTGGCAATCGAGAGTCCTGGAACGTCCTTTTTCGTGAGGAAGGCAGTGATTCCCTTGTGCTTCAGGGCCTTGTCCACGGTAGCGAAGACGACTCCCCCGCTGGCCTCCTTGGAGTTCGATATCCAAGCCTTGGTTCCATTGAGCAGGTAGTTGTCTCCGTTCAACTTGGCTGTGGTGCTGGCAGCTCCTGCATCCGATCCGTTTCCGGGTTCCGACAATGCGTAGAAGCCGATGTGATCACCTTGGGTGTAGGGCACCAGGAAGTCCTGCTTCTGCTCCTCGGTTCCATGCTGCTGCACTGCACCCAGGTATAGGTTATTCACGCCCATCACAATGGATACGGCTGCGTCTCCGCGAGCCACCTCCTCCATGCCAATTGCGTACGCCTGGTAGTCCAGTCCGGATCCGCCTAAGAAAAAAAGTTTAATTAATGGATAATACTTAATACGTACTTTAAATCTAATCAATTAATTCCAAGTTGATAAAGTAAACTTTTAAATAGAAGTGTAGCAGAGAATTTACAAACCACTTCATTTTATTTACATATGATTTCTACATTTACATATATCCAAATCGAAGCACAACAATTTGTTATGTAAAAATTGGAAAACTGTATTTTTGAAATTAAAAAACATTAGAAATATTACTTTGGTTATTGAGCAATAATTGCATTTATACAATGCTGTACTTAAAATTTTAAAAACCAACAATTATTGTTACTCAGTTCTTACCGTATTCCTCTTTTATAGCCACCGCCATCAGACCGAGCTCCCCCAATCGACGGACCTGCTCTGCCGGATAGAGTTCCTCCCGATCGTGATGACGGGCCTTAGGAGCCAGTTCCGCATTGGCGAACTCCCGGCAGGTCTTCTGCAGAATCTGGTGGGTTTCTGGGAGAGCAGCTAGGCATGCGATCCCCCTATCACCACCTCCGATTCTCCGCACACTCCATGCGCCACTCGATCGTTGACCTGCGAACGGGAACCGCAAAATCGATCACCCGCTCGTGGTGAATCACCTATGGAGCTCCTCACCCAACGTCCGCGCTACTCTGATCAGCTGCTGCATTTCGCCGTCCAACTGATCCCAAGTTAGTAGTGTCAGCTGTCTTTGCTACTGAAGAAGCTTTCTCCGATATTTTCGCTCCGATCGAAATAAACCCGAGGGAGAACATCTTTTATAAGCAGCTTTCTCGCGGCGAACAGACAGGGGCGTCCGCTGAAAGTTAAAAGGGGTTGTTCCTATATAAAATATTAAAAGAAAAGTATATATTTGAGTAGCTTACAAAGTTTTGCACACAACTCTTTTAAATTTCTTAATTGGCAAACGAAAAATAATGATGTAAAAAGTTAAAGCTTTTTTTATTATTAAATGATTTTTATTTTTTTTTTTTTTAAGTAATCCCTTTATGCTTTTTGTTTTTAATATTTCTACTATATATGAGTTCCTTACATAATAGCAAATTTTACATATTGTAGCTTTACTTGTAAATTTACCAAGTTGTTCAGCTGACCTTTACAATACCGAGAATGAAAAAAAAAATATATAAAAAGCGGTTCAATGATTTTAAGGTATTCGAATCCATGAAAAACCTTGTGGATTTCCTACCGGCCGAAAACAAAATTAAGCATTGCTAATTCCCTGTACACACCCACTTCTGGTGAAAGGTTCAAAGTCCTTTGAATAATTTTTAGCGCAAAATACAGTAGGCATTGTTTTGTATTTACGTATGTTAAAAAAAGATGGACTTTGAGAACGATCAACGACACGTGCAGTTAAAGTCATTTCCGTGGTTTTTATGTTAGGTTTTTTTTTACAAAAAAATAAGAGGAATCAAAGTTTCAAAAACAAAAAGTTGTAAATAACGTTAGATTCACTTTTATAATTAGCTTTGAGTATAAAATTTAACATTTATTTTTCAAATACAGCTTACCTTACTTTTCTATTATTACAAATTAAAGGCAGCCCTCTACATCCCTATGCTAGCGCCATCTCCCGAAAGAATAGCTAACTACAAAAACTACATAAGGCATTGTAGTTAGATTTTTGCCCGCGTGGAGAACAGCATTTCAAATAAATTTGATTTATAACAACGTGTTTAAAAGTTTAGATAAAATATTTATTAACAAGCAAAAAAAATTATAAAACAAATTCATAACCTAGTAGGTCGAATAAAGCTGTACAAGTTTGAAAATATATTTTAGAACTGCCTCATTTCCCAATTTACACAATCTACCAAGCCAAGCAATTGCCTGTTCAAAATTATAGAATTTTTGCAATATACCTATTGAGTATCGAAATGAATTATTTGATACAACGCGGTAAGGTGCGCCAACAGGCGATAAATGTGCCGGAGGGTCTGCCAGAACTTCTATCTGATATTACTCGCGAGGTTTTAAGGTGCCAACCGACGAAGGAGTGTCTCTGCCAGTTCATCATTGATTATCTCCACTCTGTTATTGTGACCAGGGAAAAGGCTTTGGGTGAGTGGTTCTGTCCTCTTAATTTACTATACCTAATTGGGAATCCTTATCCTACTGATTTATTTTAACCCTTGCAGTGGCCAAGACCATTTTGGAAAGGGCTCTTCGCCAAGTGGACAGCATAATATCGGATCTCTGTGTATGCGATCTGTCCAAGGAAAAGTCCGAGTTGATGGGCCAGGTTTTGGAGGACTGTTTCCGCAACTTCCTCGAAAAGCGTCGCTGTGAGATGCGTCGCGGAAAGCAGGCGATAAACTTCGAGGACGTGGACATCCTGGAGGAGCTGCTGCTGAAGTGCAAGTTCTCCGATGAGGAACTCAGCATGTCGCGTCCAGCGATCGAAAGTGCCTACAAGCGCTTCGTGGAGGCCTACATGTCAGCGGAACGAGGCGCCGATGGAACCGAGCTGCTTTACCAGTACTTCCGAGATCGGGAACTAAAGCGAATTAATGAGGCGATGCGCGAAAAGGCGGCCATCACAATTCAGTCGGCGTGGCGTGGATACTGGGTGCGCCTCCAGTTCCCGCAGGAAGTTTGCATCTGCACTTGCGCTGATGTAAGTTCAACTATCATTTATTAAAAAAATAATATTTTAAGCTATTTATTATATTTCCCCAACAGAAGAAAGAGGATGACGAGGAAGAGGAGCGAAGGCAGCGGGCAGCTAGTATTATTCAGAGATTCTTCCGCAAGGTCATGTTGGTAAGTCTAGAATCAAATACATAGTTCATAGAATATAGTATAGAAATCTCCACAAATCTCTCGTATTAAATATTTTATTGTGGGACTTACTAATCCATTTACCGATCGTAACGTAGACTTATTTTTATATCGTTCTCGAATTTTCAGCGTGCTGCCACCAAACCCATCGCAGATCCTTGTGCGGAACCTACGGATGCAACGGAGCCTTCAGAGGCCACCACTTCGCCGGATGCAACGAAGAGTGGCCTTACTGATGTGGATATAACGACGGCGAGCTCTGCTCCCGGAGCAGCTTCCGTTCCTGCAACAGCTCCTGCCACTGCTCCTGCCACAGCCCCTGCAACAGCTCCTGGAACTGCTCCTGGAACTGCTCCTGGAACTGCTCCTGGAACTGCTCCTGTAACTGCCAAAACATCGGAGACCGGTTTGGCAGAGCCAGAAGTACCGCCTGCTGAAGGTCCACCAGCGGAAGAACCAAAGGCAGCCGAAGCTCCTGTGGAGGAGGCACCACCTGCTGATGCGGCTGAAGAGCCTGCAGCAGCACCACCGGCAGAAGAAGCGGAACCACCACCACCACCACCTCCCGAAGAAGAGGCTGCACCACCGCCCGCTGAGGAACCCGCTCCACCGGAGGAAGCCGCACCACCACCCGCCGAAGAAGCACCCGCTGAAGAGGCAGCCGAGTAGATTCAACCACACTACATTTATTAGTTATCTCTTAGTTGTTAAATTGATTTTGCCAGCAAGTGAGTAAATAGATCTGGAAGGGCTTAAGTCCACAGCCCTTGCTATTCCATTTGCTCTCCTATCCACTCACTGAAGGTAGAAACCCGTGTATAGACATCCGGGGAGAGGTACAGACCACAAACCACCAGTCCGTAGGATACAATGCCCACTTGTCTTAGTCCTTGCTTAGTTTGCATTACCAGAGGTCCACCAGAATCGCCCTAAAAATAGATATAAGGAGTTCCTTAAATACAAAATACAATATAAGATTTGAATTTAATTCTCGGACTTACTGAACAGGCTCCCCTGAAAGGTCCTCTGGCACAGATTTCCGTTTCCGTAACGCTTTCCATTCCGGCATCTCTACACTCCCGGTTCGAAATGGTGTGGTAACTCATTCGCTGAAGAACGTTCGGATAGTTAACCTCATCGAGGAAAGGAAAGGGCACTGGCAGACGAAGACCCCATCCCGTCAATGTCACGGGAACTCCGCCACCCACAAACTCCTTTTTCTGGGATTTATACTCAATGGAGCTTATGGTGCCATTGTTTAACTTTAGTGCAGGGTCAATCGACAGCACGGCAAGATCACTGGTCACCAGTTCCTTGTACTTGGGATGGATGCTGTACGACAGCACCTGGGAACGGGACCCCTTCTCGTTCAAACCCCTAATTCCAGCCACCACTGACATGCGACTTGCATTTAGACCTTGGCAACAGTGAGCTGCAGTTAGAACCCTATTTGGAGCAATGATGGATCCACCACAGAAGTGCATTTGACCTCCGCGGGTTTTGTACTGCAGGGAAACCTGATAGGGTATATGTTCACCAGCTGGAACATCAGCTCCTCCGACAATTCGATGTGGAGTATATCCACTTGGCTGGCGGGCTTTTTAATTATAATTTTAATTTAACTAAGGAAAACTTATTATTTCTTTTCGAACTCACAGTTAAGCCTTCCACACACGCCTCCCACAAGTAAAACTCCGATCAGCAGTAGCTCAGTTGTGGACATTGTTGGTTGCAAAATGTAACTCACTTTGCAAAAGCCACGCTACTTAAACAATTGTTTGGCCCTCATTTGAGAAAGAATTTGCATGAGTATCGCAAATATCTGGGGCACTTTGGATACTTGGTTATGCCATTAAATTTGATCTTGAAATTGAAATTATAATGAGGAGTTATGCTGGTAATGTAACCTAGTTGCGTGCTATGGAAATATAGAAAAGGTAAAACTGCAAATTTGCAAGCCTCATGGCAAAGGTTAAAAGACATGAGTTCATTACAACAGAAATAATAATAATAATATCACGGAATTAGGACAATAATTTTAATTTTATTAAATCGGTATTTACGTGTTCAAATTATTTAAATTTTATCTGATTGCTCTTTAAGCCATTCTTTCCTTAATCCAACCATCGAACATGGACACTCTGGTGTAGACATCAGGACTGTTGGAGGCGCAAAAGGCAGTGCCATAGGAGACCACTCCCACTTGCTTGTAGGACTCACCACTCTTCATGACCAAAGGACCGCCAGAGTCTCCCTTAATATAAAAAAAAATTAAAAAGAGTAATAAATAATCTTAAGTAAACTCACATTACAAGCTCCCTTGCCGAATCTCTCCAAAGCACAGATCTCAGTGTCCGTCAGTTGGGTCATTGTCTCCTTGCACTTGGAGTTGCTTAGTGTTTTGTAGTTCAGTTTCTGTAGTACAGTAGGATACTTGGCAAAGGGTCCTGTTCCAAAGTGGAAGACAGATCCCCATCCAGTGAGCAGAACCTCCTGATCGGCTCCCACCAAATCCGAACCACTCACATCGATGGTGGACACTCGCTTATCATCCAATTCAAAAGGTGGATCGATCTTGAGAATGGCAATGTCACTGGTCACCAGTTCCTGGTAGTTCTCGTTCATCTCGTAGGACTGCACTTGGGATCGGTATCCTGTGCTGTCATTCAGATCCCTGATTCCTGATACAACGCTAATTCGACTGGCATTCTGGCCATTAACACAGTGAGCAGCGGTAAGAACGCGATTTGGTGCAATCAGCGAACCACCACAGAAGTGCCTTTGCTTTCCACTGCGAGTGAGGAATTGCATGGAGACCTGGTAGGGAACATACTCATCCTGGGGTACATCATAACCTCCAACCACACGCTCGTTGGAATTGGTGTCTGCCTCCTCGAAATACTTGTCCACTGAAGGGAAAGATTTAATATGCAAAACTCTTCGGTTGTGTTATAAGTTATACTTACAATCTATGACGTTGCCCATGGGTTTACCTAGGACAACATCTAGAGTGGCCAAAACTGCCACCAGCAGCACTAAAGAAATTACTCCGTTCATGGTAAGACTGAGCTTGAAACTAGCAGTGCATCCGAGGTTTATATACGCATCGCGGAGCTCCAATTAATTGGGCCTTTTCGTTCTACTCGATTCATTTGAATTTTATCGAGTGGAGCTGTGGGCGGTCGTCCCACCTCATGTAATGGGTTACAAGGTCGCTGGGCGACGATAGCAGTGGTCTAGGTGATAGGAAACGACAGTTGGTAAGGAGAAACTACAGGGAGTGGTCGAGGTTTTAGCTAAATAAGATATATAAAGAAATTAAAGAGGTAACTAAGTATTCTTTTTTTCACTGATACATTATTTTATTGGAGCTGCAAATGTATTGACAGACAAGGTATCCAGCTTCCGCAGTTCCCTGGAATAACACCTACGCAAAGATGCAGAACCACTGAAAGAATCAAAACCACAACCAGACTGCCAACCAACTCCTTTCCAGAGCGATCTGCCTCAGAGTTTTAATCAGCGAATAATTTAAATATTCCGATTAAACAAGCCCTGCGACTTCAGCGGACATTTCTTTTAATTCACTTCGCGGACTGGGAGACAAGGAGACCTGCCGCTGGCAATCAGCACCTCGGACACCTCGGAGGCAAGTTGCCACAGATCCAAACGAGGCAGAAACTGCAGCAGCAGCAGCTCCACATGTTCGATGCAAATCAGGCTCGGGTTCTGCCACAAACCCAATCCCAATCCCATTCTCAATTCCAATCCCTCTGCTTCCCTGAATGGCGAGTGCTATCTGGTCCACATTCGGAGCCAGATGTGTCAGTTCCGGGCCTGATTGCAGCCGGCTAATGAATCATTTTGGGTGTAGCCCGATCTGGACAGGGACTTCGGCTGTACTCGTATGGCTGTGTGTGGCGCACTGGCGCGAATTAATTATGCACACCTCGCGGTTTCGCGGCGACTCCTCCGTTTTGCATCCTGGCTGCCGTTGAGGTCTTGATCTCTGGACTTCTGTGTTAATTGTCCTGCGCGGAGATACAGCGCCACGGAGCTAGCGAACCAGCAAACCAGCGAACCGATTTGAACCCGAAATGGCTTTATTATATCGCCAGCGAACACCCCACCCACAGGATGTGTCTGGGCATCCGAGTCCGAGTCCGGCGCCTTTTGTTAATTGGACCACCCTGCCAAGGCATGACTTATCTGCTGGCTTTATGCTCGATTCCTGGGTCTAATTTGCATGTGAGCTCGGTGTGCCTTCGACTTTTCTTGACGGGTTAATCCGTGTGTTAACTCATTAGGCTTTGTTCTAGCCAGGGAAATGTAATCAAGGAAAGGCAAACAAAAGAAAGGTGGCTTTGCTTTAAGAATTTTGTTTAATAAACTATTTTCCCGTTTTGATTTAAGAATTTGAGGTTTTAATCAAACGGCCTTTAGATCACCAAGGAATCATGCAATATATTAAGTAAATTGTATAAAAACCTAAAGCCACTGGCTTTTATACTTAAAAATATCTAAAAAGTGAATATAATGTTAAGGTTTGCAGTTGAATATGATTGTTAAATTTTAAAAAGTTTTCAATTAATCTCAATACTATTTTTATTGGCTTGGCTTAATGTTACTTACCTTTACTTATACTTTTTTGTAAATTTACTTTAAAATGTTGTTTATAAGAACTTCTTTTCGCTTCAATCTGCATTTAAAAGTGAAAAACATTGTTGCGATTCCGCAGTAGATGTTCAGAATTCCCACTAATAAAATGCACTTTAATCATTTAATCAGCAGACTTCCCGACAATATCCTCCTTTGGAGGGCCTGCGGATCGGTTCGGTGTTAACAAGATAAGCATCCTGCCTGTCCGCTCCGACGGGACGCCATCATTATTATGACATTTTGTTTGATTGCCTGCCCCGCCGATGCCCTCATTCATGGCCATGTTCGGCAGCCAACTTCTGTGGAATTGTGCGTGTGGCCAAAAAGAACTGGCCAGAAGCAAAGTGAGCGTTCATTCCCGGTGCAATTTTTATGGGCTTTTTGTTTTCGGGATCTGTTTTCTTGTTTGTCTCTTTGCCGCCAACGTCTTCAGCTTGATTTATTGGCCGACTTCTTAAGGCAGAGCCGCTGGTTTTATGATCTCCGCGGAGTGGGAGAAGTGGCAGTTTATAAGCCAGGTTTTAAAACCAGTAGCCAGCCGGAAGGGTATTGCCTGCTGTCTTGATTTGCGGGTCAACCGGGAGCAGGTGGGCATAAAAACAAAATATTTCTCCGGTTCGACCTGTATGCTAATGATTATGACTGTTGCCAACATAAGCAAACGGGATCAGCTTGGCCAGCCGAATGAGTTTTCCGCTTCGCAGGCAATTAATTTTCGCACTCGTTTCCAAGTGGAAAATTAATTGCGTGTTTTGCATAATCAGTAAATTGGTCGTTTATTTTAGTACTTAATTTGCACAGGATCGCACCACGAGGTGCACCTCCATTTCTGCTCGCATCGCCCCCGTCCACCGGTCTTATAAATTATGACTCTGGACCCCAAACACATGCAGCGATCGTGGCTTTGGCTCTGGCCCAACCATTGGCAAATTAAACAGATTTTTATTTGCAAATCAGATAAGAGATCGTGGCACTGAGCAGCGGACAGATACGAACTCGCTTCTGGCCAGATAAGCAGATACCGAATCGGGCTAGCTCAACTGGCTAATATTTATCGGTCGCGTGAGCGTGTTACCTAATTGATGACAACAGGTAGGCGCTTCTGTCAAGCCCAGTTTTATGATGGCATCTGTGGACTGCATCCCTGCTAGCTTATGATAACCAGACACGCAAGGGGACATCCAAAAACAGCAAGGAGCTGACCAGCAGGAGATCCAAGTCAACTACTGTTTGCTGGGGAGTGTTTCTAAAATTTATTTGGTTCAAATTTAGACAAGTTTCGATATAAAGAAAAGTGAGGACTCACCTTGAAACGTTTAACACGTAATAAATAAGATTTAATTTAACAATTCAAGTGTATATTTATTTAAATACATAACCCATTTAATAGTTCGATTAAAACAGTATATACAAAATTTAATGATTGACATCTTTTTGCTAATTATTAAAAGTTATTAATTGTCTATATCACTTTTTTTTACAGTCATCGTTATAATTATTTTTATACGATACAAATGGATTAAATATATATGATAAATAAAAAAGTCCACCGTTATTTTTTATAAGTGTACATAAAACCAATACAGGTATTTATAGGAGATATCTGTGGAAGGTTACCCAAATTCAGCCCACATTGCATGGTTTCAAGATCGCAAAAAATTACATGTTTGCATCGCCAAATAAATGATAAGACCCTTTTAACTGCGGATGTATAAAATGCATGGGGTGCAGTTGCATTTCATTCATTACCAAAAAAGTAAACGTGATATCGTAGTCAAGAATGGTAATCCTGAAGCTGTTTTGTATTTTCCTGATCCTCCAACAAGGATGGGCTGAATTGGTGACCTCAACTACTGAACCACCCACTCGAATTAATGGTGGTCAGCTAGTGAACGAAACCGTTCCCTTCCAAGTGTCCTTGCAAATGCAGCGTCGAGGTCGCTGGCAGCACTTCTGTGGTGGTTCCATTGTTAGTGGACAACATGTCCTTACGGCAGCTCATTGCATGGAAAAGATGAAAGTGGAGGACGTCAGTGTGGTGGTTGGAACTCTGAACTGGAAGTCGGGAGGACTGCGCCACAGGGTGGTGACCAAACATGTCCATCCCCAGTACTCGATGACTCCGCGGATCATTAACGACATCGCTGTGGTTAAGGTTACTCCTCCGTTCCGTTTGGAGAGATCTAATATTGGTACTATTCCAATGGGTGGTTCCGATCGCATTGGTGAAAAGGTTCCTGTTCGTCTAACTGGCTGGGGATCCACCACTCCGGCTACTTCATCAGCCACTCTTCCGGATAATCTCCAGGCCCTGAATTATCGCACCATTTCGAACGAGGAGTGCAACCAAAAGGGTTTTAGAGTGACCCGGAATGAGATCTGTGCGTTGGCTGTTCATGGACAAGGAGCATGTGTGGTAAGAACAAACATATTTTCCTTTAAAAAGTACCTCATCAGATTATATTTAAGTTACGAAAAGCTCACACTTAGAAAATTTATGCGAGTAAAGTATTTCTTATTCCGTATGATTATTTGTAATATCACATTTAATGGATGTGAAAAACCGACAATTCCAAACGCCTTCCTTAAGCCTTAACCTAATTTTCTAAACATTTGCATTTAAATCTACAATGTGAGATAATGAATTGTATTAAGAAACCCAAGAAGAGTAGTTGCATTGCCTCTTCGCAACAATGAACTGCATATCCTACAAAATACACATTTGATTTCTCAATTTCAGGGTGACTCTGGAGGACCCCTGATCAAGCCCGGTCCCCAACCGCATTTAGTGGGCATTGTGTCGTACGGCTCGTCCACCTGCGCCCAGGGAAGACCCGATGTCTACACACGCGTGTCCAGCTTTTTGGCCTACATCAGCCAGGTGATCAACCAGGACCTGGCCCAATAAATACCGTCCAGCAGCGCATAAATAAACCGTCTTGAACTTGACTAAATTCCTCGGAATCTTTCGTTCGTGGGTTCGCCTCTCCCCGTTTCTCTTCTCTTTGGCGACTAATTAAAAATCTTGTTCAATATTCGCCACAGCCGTGGGGAGGAGGCGGAGGAGTCTGGGTGGAGTCCACCGAGTCCACTGAGTCGCCTCTGCATCGCCATGGTCTCGTAGTCTAGGCTTGGCCCGACTCCAGCGAAAAACTTGGGCTGCCGCCTGCCAGGGCGACCATGATAAATGCAAAAAGCAATTTATCGCGCATTTAACTCAATTCAGTTTCTTTATGGCAGCAGAACGGCGGTGAAGTTTTGGGGGAAGGGGGTAAGTTGGCAGGGGGAGGAGGGAGAACGTTTCGCAGACACGCACTCCTCTGCCGAGGAGCCAGGCCTTGTAATTCGATATTAGATTTTATGCGCGACAAATACGAAGTGCAAACATTTTTATGTTCCCGCCGTTTCTATGCTGCGATTGGTACTTGTACTGGAAACGATTTAACGGGGCGCCGACTTTGACTCCGTCTTTGACTTGGGCTCCAACTTTGGTCTCGGCTCGAGGTGGGCTGAGTAATTAAGTTCAAATAATGTGGAGCTCATGCCTTTTTGTGGTCCAGACAGCCTTAAAAGAACCTCTTTCCGCAGAGGATCCATATTTGCCCTTCCTGCAGCTCGTTTCATGCTCCCAATTTTTATGGATCAATGCGAGTCTAACATGGAAAATCTGGCCCCGAATGAACTCCCATATAGAGGCAGCTGAAAGCTAACAGCTAACAGCGATTCAAATGCGCAGAAGAGTAAAACCCAAGCAACCACCCATCACCCGTCTTCTCATCCCGAGACAATCTGAGCGGTGACTGAAAGTCGCCTGAGTACTGCTCACCATATAAATTCATTTAGATCAATCAATTCAATTTGTTTGTCAATAAGCCCTAAATGAGTATTTCATTTAAACAAATTAAAATTCGACCCATGTGGAATGCCAGTGGCTGCGCGGACTCATCCCGCAGCAATTAAAATTGACGCGACACACTCGATTCCCTGATTTCTTAAACGAGCGCAATGGAAACACATATAAATACGGCTGGACTTTGGCTCAGATCGAGACCCAGATCCAGACCCTGGGACCCAAGACCGAAGAGCAAGAGACCAAGAGACCAATGCCCAGCCCATCGCTGTTGACTCTTCATTGTCAATTAAAATCAAATAAATTTATTTGCTGCTTGACATTCGCCTTGCCCAAGTTTCCATCGCAGCCACTTTCGATCTGTTGGTTTTTTGTTTGGCATGCAAGTGCATTGAGCTGATTGCTTTGACCTTCTATGCCCGAAAATCACGGATCGAGCCGAGATCACTTTGCCTTCCCCTGGTTGGCCACCGATTCCATTGCCTTCTTGACCGTCTCGGGATCCCCGAGGAACTGCAGGGTGCCCAGAGGCTTGAGGTTCTCATCCAGATCGTAGACGAAGGGAATGCCAGTGGGCAGGTTGAGACCCATGATGTCCTCTTCGGACATGCATTCCAGGTGCTTGACCACGCCCCTCAGACTGTTGCCGTGGGCGGAGACAAGGACACGCATTCCCTCCTTGATTTGTGGCACAATCACCTCATTCCAATATGGCAAAGTGCGCTCAATGGTCAGTTTGAGTGACTCCGATTTGGGGAACTCCTCTGGCTTGAGTTGGTCCTTGTAGCGAGGATCCTCGACGATGCAGGCGTAGTACTCGTGATCCTTTTCCATGGGCGGAGGCGGAGTGTCGAAGCTGCGTCGCCAAATTTGGACCATATCCTCGCCGAACTTCTTGGCGGTCTCGGCCTTGTTAAGTCCCGTTAGTCCACCGTAGTGGCGCTCATTGAGTCGCCAGGAGGAGCAGATGGGGATCTTCCGGTGCTCGCTGGACTTCAGGACCGCCGTGAGGGTGTCTTGGGCTCTGGACAGCAACGAGGTGTGGGCCACATCGAACTCCAGGTTGGCAGTTTTCAGGGCACTTCCGGCGGCACAGGCTTCCTGCTGGCCCTTCTCGGAGAGCTTGGCGTCGAACCAGCCGCAGAATAGGTTCTTCTGGTTCCACTCCGACTCCCCGTGCCGCACCATCACGATCCTGTACTTTCCCTTTCCCTCGGACCCATTGCCACCGGAGGATGTCTTCGAGTACGGCCTTTGGCTTCGGGCATCGATGTTTGCCAGACGACTCAGCATTTGGCCACACAACGAGTTCCTGGCCAGAGCCAGCATTTTGGAACTTAAGATTTGGAAAAAATTTTAAAGCCTAATTGTGTGCATTTCGAGTGAGTTTTTAGAGATTAGGAAAATGGAATGGGAGCTTATAGTCAGCACACTTTGATGTTTCAAATAATAAATTTAGCATAATTTTTTTTAAATAATTCAGGGCAAAAGTAAATTAAGCTTATTGCACAAACAAAAAAAAATACACTCTTTTGTAATTTTCTTAAAAGAAATATATTGACACTTGTAATTAACTAGGGAATCAACAAATGTAGAAAAAATATATCATTACAAGGAGAACAAAATGGTAGTGAAGCTTAATGTCTTCAAAAATCAAAAATATAATATTCTAGCCTCGTCTTTTAAATTCGAGCTTTGGAGACTGGGCCAGTTCCATGACGAAGTTGTCTACAAATTCCAGATCTTCATAACGAAAAGTAGTGCCGACTTCAAAGTTTCGAAGTATCTTGGCTAGACCGAGCTTAGCAGTCATCAACGCAAACTTCCAGCCTAAGAAAAAAATACAGATAAGTTATTTTAAATTGCTGTAAAAAAATTTGATACACAAACCTATGCAATTTCTTTTTCCCTTTGAGAATGGAATAAATGCGTAGGGATGCCTTTCGAGGATGTTTTCCGTCAAAAAGTTATCAGGATTGAAGGTTCCTGCTCCTGAACCCCAGACATCCGGGTTCCGGTGGGTACTGAATATGTCAATGCCGATCGTAACTCCTCTGGGAACAAGAATTCCATTTGAAAGACGAAAATCCTCCGAGGTTTCTCTCGGAAGGAAAGGAATGGCCGGGAGCAATCGCAAGGATTCATTTACCACGCGATCCAAGTAAGTTAATTGCTGCATATCTTCATCGGTGACTTCAAAGTCCTCTCTCGTTGGAAATACCCTTTTAAGCTCTTCATATGCTAAATCCTGATAATTAGGGAACATGGCCAGTAATATCAGAGTGTGCCAAACAGTGAGGCCACTTGTCTCGAATGCAGCTGAAATCATTATACTGCATTCGCTCGCCACATCTTCATAGCTAATATCACCATCACGGTATAGTTTAATCGCTCTATTAATCACGGTGTTGGGAATGTGTAGTGAGGTATTTTCTGAGTTGCACTTAAGTCTTTTATCGATTATCTAAGAAATAATGCTTAAGATCGTTACAGTTTTAAAGAAATTACTTACCTACATTTTTAAGTGTTGTATTAATTAAATCAGCGTCTTTCAATCTCCTTTTTTCAATACCGCAGACTTTGGCAATGAGATTGTTTTGGAGGAAGGGCATCACAGTATTTAGCGTTACTATACTTGCAATTCTGAAAATTAAAACCGTTTAGGTAGAAAACATCGTTAAAAAGTTTGCCTTACGATTGATAGCTTTCCATAAGTTTATTGTTTTTGAAGTTTTCATCATCATGCACATCTGAACCTAGAGTAGTTTCTGCAAAGGCAAAAACAATTTTTACCTAATGAAATAATAATTTTTATCTTCGAGACAATATTAAAACAACACTTACTGATTGATACCCTAAAAGACCACCGTAGTATATCTCGAAGCACATCGGTCTCGCCCTGACCAATAAAAGTATCCAACAATGTTACCAGTTTTTTAGTCTCATCATTTAAAATGGGAAAAAAGAAGAGCAGGACATTCGTTTTGAACGCAGGATTCATTAGCTTGCGACGAACACTCCATATGGGCTCTAAAAAATGTTTTAGTTAATGGCACTAAATTTCACACTTACATATATATCAACCAATGTTTATTCGGTCGGTTTTAATGAAGTTACCTCTGAGTGCCAGCAGTCCAAAACCAATACAATTGTTCATAGCACTAACTGTGTGCGAGGACTTGTTTATGCATTCGGAAGATACTAGGACATCCTTTATTATTGTTGGATCCCTTGTGACCAAAAGTGGCACCGGTCCCAGCCAGGAAAGGACTGTTGAGCCATGCTTGTCCATGAACTCGGATCGAAAAGTCATTCCGCCTGTGGATGGAAAAGGATTCTTTAATAAATCATATAGAATATTTATCTGGCAGTTGTTATTACGTTTTTTGATAAGATGTTCCAAAGCAATTCCCAGCAGTGGCAGTCCCATTTTACCGGGCAACTGAAGCATCAGCATATAAAACCTCCGTCGACTCCAAAGAAAACGGATCCACCAAAGTATCAACGCGATAATTAAGAGGTGTACTGCCAGCATTTTTACCTTATTTTGTGATGGGACTCTAGGTGTGTCCAAGTATATATCTCTGTTTGGGACTCTATTCGTTGGCTTCAGGTCAAGATTTATGAATAGCAGCGAACCTCTACTTGGAAAGACGTATTTATGGCTAACCCCACTCTGAGTACATGGTAGTACTTGACCCTTATTCACATTTGGTCACACACATTAAATCTGCTAGGCTTAGATATATATAATATAAGGAACACATATGTGGTGGTCAGAATAAAAAAGTTGATTAAAAAAAAAATCAAAATAAAAAATTCAAGAATACCAATTTAGAGAAAAATTTCAAGTGGCAAAGAAATATTTTTAAAGTGGTTTAATTTGATTTGGATTTGTATTTAGATTTAAAACAACACTTTTAAGAAGTATAACGCACACCAACATATTATATTAGGCTCTCCATAACCAATAGTTCAACTCCCGAAATAAAAAAAATCTGCTATGATTTCCGACGTTGAAAAGACAATGGTGGTGATTGAGCCAACTTCATGATCAAGGTGTCAACGAATTCCAGATCCTCATAGCGAAAGGTAGTGCTTACTTCGAAGTTCCGTAGTATCTTGGTCAAAGCCAGCTTTGTAGACATCATTCCATATTTCCAGCCTAGAAAAATAATTATAAAATTATTATTTACAATTGATTCGCTGAGGAAAAAGACAACGTGCCTATGCAATTTCTCTTTCCCTTTGAAAAGGGAATAAATGCAAATGGATGTTTATCGCGAATTCTGTCCGGTAGAAAGTTGTCAGGATTAAAGACCGCAGCTTCTGGACCCCAGACATCTGTGTTCCGGTGAATGTTGAATATGTCGATTAAAATTGTTACTCCTTTGGGGATGATAACTCCGTTCGATAGAAGCAGATCGTCTGTTGTCTCCCTTGATACCATCGGAAGGGAAGGAATCAATCGCAAGGTCTCGTTTACAACGCGCTCCAAGTAATCCATTTTTAGTAGATCCTCGTAGGTAACTTCGAAATCTCCAGTCGATGGGAAGAGTTCCTTGAGCTCGTGGAAGACCATATCCTGGAACTTGGGAAACATGGCCAGCAAAACGAGAGTGTGGAAAACTGTCTCAGCAGTTGTCTCAAATGCAGCGACAACCATACTCATACATTCGCCTTTTACTTCTTCAAAGGGAATTCCCCCATTTCGAAAGAGTTCGATGGTCCGGTTGATGACAGTTTTGAGCTCAGGTTTCCAATCGATTTCTGTTCTTGAGTTTAGCTTTTTGTCAAGTATCTTTATAAAAAAAAAAACATAAATTCCTTCAACTGACTACTTTACCATACCGTACCGTTTTAACTTACTTTGTCGAACATTTGATAAACATTAGAAACGTCTTTTTGTCTTTGCTTTTCATAACCAAGCAGCTTTGAAATTATTTTGATTTGAAGGAAGGGTATCAAAACATTGAGTGTGGTGAGTCTTAAAAGTCTATAAAGAAAATTTATTACGCCAGTAAAATCATTGGTCTTTCATTTCTCTTACGACTGGTAGCTTTCCAAGATTAAATCGTTGTTGAAGTGTTCATCTTCCTTTACATCGGTTCCCACAGTGGTTTCTGTAATCAACTATCGATCAGACCAAATGAAAATATTTTTACAGCTGACTTGCTTACGAGTAGAAATTCTAAACGACCATCTGGTCAAGTCTGGGAGAATATACTTTTCGCCCTGATCCACATAGGAGTCCAATAAAGCCACCAAAGTTTTTGTTTCGGCATTAAAAATGGGAAGAAAGCTGATCAAAACATTGTGTTTGAACGCGGGAGTCATCTGCTTGCGCCGCTCAAGCCACTTGTCCCCTAAAAATTACAAGACACAAATTAAGTAAATAAAATACTTCAATCGTTAAATTTAAGTACCCTGAAGTGTCACAAGTCCTGATCCCATGCAAAGAGCCATTGCTTTTGTAGAATGCAAGTTTCTGTTGATGCATAGAGGTGCCATGTACACATCCTCAGCCACTTTTGGATCCCGTGTCATTATAATTGGCAATGTACCCATCCAGGTTAAAATGGTTGATCCATTCTTGTCCATGTACTTCGTTCGTATACTCATTTTACCTTGCAATAAAAGAGTTTCAGGATTTGACTTCTATTATGCGACTTCAGTTACGTTTATAGAATAGAAAGTAATTTGCAGCGATTCCGATAAATGGGAGTCCCATGGATCCCGGCAACTTCCACATCAGCATATATAGTTTTCGTCTATTCCACAGGAAGCGGATCCAAAGAATTATTCCCGCGACAATTATCAACTGCACCGCAATCATTTTACTTCAGTTTTGAACTACTAAGCTGGTTGTGTTGGAATATATATCTTATGTGGTGGCTCCGTTTTCTGAGTTCAGCGGTAACCTATTTATGACTTTCACCTCCACTGCTTAATTACTTACTTTTAAACTTTCAGATGATTGTCCACCTTCATTGGAGTTCTCACGATTTGCACTTGAAGAATAACAAATTTCCTGGGAACCACTTGTATACTTTAAGCTTAGTTTGTTAGGCAACATAAATTGTATCTTTAACTGAAATAATAGATTTATATATTATACTTGAAAATTGATTTCTTCTACCGGCGAGCAAAAAAAATATAAATATATAACATATATGCATGTAGGTACACAATTTAGATTTTATTTAATACCTACAGAAAATTTAAACTCTGATTATTCTATTTATTTATTGATTCAAACATAAAATTCTCACTACCAGAGGACAACAAAATGGCTTCAAGGTAAGTACATCTACAATACATTTTCAGGAACTTCGGTTAAAAATTATTAAAACTTATATGATAATATTTTAGTTCTTTGGATTAGCTCTCTTAAGTCCGTCTTTCAAAAGCTAATCCTGGGGCCTTAATCAATTCAATGCCTACGTTGTCAGCGAACTCCAGGTCCTCATAGCGAAATGATGTGCTCACCTTAAAGTTTCTGAGGATCTTGGCTAAAGCGAGCTTTGCAGACAATACTCCATACCTCCAACCTAAATAGGTAGGAAAAAGTTATAAAAAGTGATTACACAGTCATTTGACTAACTTACCTATACAATTCCGTTTTCCCTTCGAAAATGGAATGAAGGCATAGGGATGCCTATCGCGCACATTGTCTGGCAGGAAGTTGTCTGGATTGAACTTCCCAGGATCTGGACCCCAGTAATCCGGGTTGCGATGAATGTTGAATATGTCGACTCCAAAGTTTACTCCCTTTGGAATGACAACTCCGTTCGAGAGTCGGAAATCCCGAATTGTTTCCCTCGCAGAAATCGGAACGGAGGGCATCAATCGCAAGGTTTCATTCAGAACGCGGTCCAAGAAAACCATTTTCTGCAGGTCCTCGTAGTCCACATCGAAGTATCCTGCCGTTGGGAAGAGCTCCTTAAGCTCTTCAAAGGCGATTTCCTGGTACTCGGGAAACATGGCCAAAAGAAGAAGTGTATGACGAACAGTTAGACCAGTTGTCTCAAAGGCAGCGATGACCATGGCACTACATTCGCCTTTAACATCTTGCATGGGCATTTCTCCGTTCCGAAACAGTTCTATGGATTTGTTGATCACAGATTGCATTTCAGGCTGTGCGCTGTTTTCTGTCTTTGTGTTGAGCTTTTTGTCGACAATCTATATAAAAAAGGGTTAAGATAACTATAAAGTTCGGGAAGCTAAAGCTTTTATAATCTTGCAGTAAAACTAGAATCTTAAAAGTCCCTAATAACAACCAACTTTCTGGTTGCCGGAAAAACGAAAACAAAAATTAATTTCAACATCTTTTTTTTATCTTTTCGAAAATCAATCCGATCTTCAAGAGCTTAAAAAAACTATTTTGCCCTGAAAATGATGTTTGTATGCTGAAAAGTAGCAAAACGTATTTTTGCGTCCTTTACTGTCAATACTTTACTTCTTTACCCAACTTTCTTGGTGAATCTATAATATCGTCTGCAAGGGTTCAAAAACTTAACTTTATGAAGGAAGGCCAAACTTACTTTTTGAATCATATTGTCAATATCTGTTACAATCTTCAACCTCTGACCTTCAAGTCCGCACAACAAGGCAACAATTTTGTTCTGAGTGAAAGGCAACAAAATGTTCAGGATGACTATTTTCATGCCCCTTTAAAAAAGAAAAAGTTAGAATTTAGGGAACGCCTGTCAAGTTATGCTATTCTCTTACCGCTGATAACTTTTTAAGGTGGTATCGTTCTTAAAGTTTTCCTCGTGCTGCACATCGGTCCCCACTGTGGTTTCTGTAAAGAAATAATTTATTAACAGAAGTAAATCATAGTATTTTGATTATTCTTCACTCACGAGTGGCTATTCTAAACGACCATCTGATTATGTCATTGAGGATATCCTTTTCTCCCTGACCGACGAGTGAGTCCAGTAAAGTCAATAGCGATTTAGACTCGGCATTGAAAATGGGGAAAAAGCTGAGAAGTACATTATGCTTGAATGCCTGGTTAATGTGCTTGCGACGTTCACTCCACTTGGCTCCTAAAGGGAATTTTAATGTTATAAAATTAAAAACTAGGGACATAGATCCTGTACCTTCCAATGTGAGCAACCCTTCTCCCAAACCGTGGGCAATCGGCCGAGTCAATATGGAACTCCTGTTGATGCATTCCGGTGCACTCAGGACCTGCTCGGCAACCTTTGGATCCCGGGTCGCAATAAAAGGCGTTATTCCCAACCAGAGCAGGACAGTTGATCCATACTTGTCCATGTACTTTGTTCGAATGGTCAGTTTACCTGTGGGGTAAGGGGTTTAAAGTATTCCACTTCTGGTTGCTTTGAACAAATTTACGATGGTTCAAAATGCACTCGATTGCAATGCCCAGAATTGGAAGTCCCAATGGACCTGGCAGCTTGAGAGCCATCGAATATAGCCTGCGCCGATTCCATAGGAAGTACATCCACAAAAACAATCCAATAGTTAGTAGAAAGTCCTTTGTAAGCATTGTGTATTAAGAAAACTGAACTAAAAGGAATGAACACTCTAAAGTAGTTCTACAAACTGATTTCACTTTAAGGTTTCCGCAGGGTTTTTATAGAAGAGCGCAGTTATTTCAGCGTAGTTAGTGCTTTGTGGTCAATTTAATAAGTATAAAGATGAACTTGGTTGCCAAAATATACGCTCACCTCGTGCTGCCCAAAACAATGTTGGACTTCGTCCATTTGGTAGGCGTTTAAAAAAGATTTCTGATAGGTTATAAACCAGACGTTTAGAGGTAATTTAAGCTCAGTAACTTAAATGTAAGCTTACTAAGTAGTTTAAACACTTAAAAAAGCTTCTGATTTTGATGGACGCCCAGACACCTCACCTAACTAAAGCAGTTTGCGGTTACGCGCACTTCCGGATTTGGAGAATCTACCCCCCCAAAACTTGGAGTTCCGAGGCCTGATGATCCCCTCAATCGCCGGGCGATCCATCATCTACATTGGGTGAAAAAGCAATTAAGCTCGAATCGCGTCAACCGCTTACGAGTCTAAGGCGAAGCTTACCCAGCTAAGCCAAAAAAAAAGCCGAAAAAAAGAAAGAAAACAAAACTATAGACAAGAAGCTGCTGGACCGCAACAGGTAAATCACTATCGAAGCGGCAATTAAAGTCACGAAAAATGTCAGCGGCGATAAATTATTTTTTAAGTGCGTTCCCCGAAAAGTTGTCAAAAAGTGTTAGAAATTTTCACCGCAAGCCACACACAATGTGAGTACATGTACGTGGAGGTAAAATCGATGCGTGGTGGTGTCCCAAGGCGTCTCAAGGTGTCTCAAGGTGTGGCAGGCTGCCCACAAACATGGACTCGGCACACGCAAGCCCCAAAAGATATTCACGGAATGGGGACCTACACCAAAATAAAAGTATGAAAAGAGGAATAAAAAAATTACAGGAACAATACCACAAATTTCTAATAAAGAAAATTATAAAAAAATAAATAAGAATCATAATGATATTTAACAAGTGTATAACAAATCAATTCGTAACTAAATGGTATTATAATAATCCGGGAAAATATCAAACTGGCAGTTCATTTATTACAGGTTAATACCACATATTTTAGTTTTGCCTCTCATAATATAGTATTTGTGTTATAATAGCTTCCTATTTTTTTTTTCAGTGCATAGTCTGGGGCTCGTGGAGGACGGCTGATAGCCGCGCGATAAGCAACATTACCGTACAATTTTCAATTAACACGCGGGGGAAACTCGCGGGGAGCGGTGATAAATTCCACAAAACATCGACCCTGGCGCTTGCAGGCACACACATACACACACATACAGACACACACACACACAGCTTGGCCCGCCGGATCCCCAACAAATTGTCTAATCTAATGCCCAGCTTGGAGCTGCCCAGAGGAGTCTGCAGAAGGCTGTAGGACATGGCCATCGCAGTCCTCGGAACTGATCTATGGTAGCCGTTAGTGTCGTCGGCAGTGAAAAGTTGTCGACCTGCACTGGCAAAATGCAGTGAATGCAAATGCAGGCAAATAATCGACAAACGTCCAACAAGCCAACTGGCCGTGGTAGACAATTTATCATCCCGACTTGGGCTTCGGTTTCGCCTCCAGTCCTCCAATCCTCCAGTTCTCCAGTCCTCCAGTCCGGTGGCCGTAAAAGCTTCTTTATGGCCGCTTCTGTGTTCTGTGCTCTGAGCCCCTGGTCACAGGTTTCTCGGGATCCAGACTTTCCCAAATAGCCGGGTTGGAAGCCCCTTGCCGGGCACAAATCTTTGATTTTATGTTTTAGCTCCACTTTGCCCGCTCGCAATGACATGTTTTTATTTTCGCTTGCGTTTTTCGACGCTGTTTTACGGTCTTTCAAATGATTTACATGCATAAGTTGAGGGATTGTGGCAGATATTTGGCCATTTCCTAGGCCCTTAGTCTGAATTATGGAATATGGTCCTTTTTCCATGAATATATTATAACAATATTTTAAGAAATCTCAAATTTTAGATTTTCCACATAAAAAGAAGCTTCGTGGGGGTAAAGAAAATGCAACAATTATTTTTATTATATTGTACATGTCGTAACTGTTTTGTTTATTAAAATGTAAGAAGCACATAAACAAATTTTAGTAGCTTCTTTTTTCACATTGTTTCTTAAAAACAGAAATTGAATAAAATAATGGCCAATATTTGTAAAAGTCAATTTGTAATTATTTTAATAATTAACCCATTAACAACTTTTTTATTTGCATCTAAAGTTGTTTCTTTTAATTTAATTTTTTAATTTTTTTTCTACTTTCAAAGATCGAGATAAAAACTTTCGATGTACATTCAAGCCTTATCCTCGAACCTAATCAACTTTTCAATTTTCCTTGAGCAAACAAATGAAAAGCAAAAAGTGTCTTACCACTTTTCCCATTAGATGCGGCGCTTTCATCATTTTCAGGAGGCGCGTGAGGAGTTCAAAGGTCGCCCAAATGACATCCGTACATCGCCAGTGGCTGGCCGAAAAATAATGCTGCTCCTCCAGCGGAGCTCTCCATGGAGCCGTGGAGCTACTGCACAGCTGCAACTGCAACTGCAACTGCGACTGCAATCGAGATGAAGATGAAGATGCATCGGATGAGCACACACGTCCGCTGGCCATGAACTTTGCTCGGCTAACCCCTTCCTGCCATTGAATGTTGGACGTTGAATTTCGGATTGGACCTGCGGCAATTTGAGCACCTGGCGGCCTCATGTGTGCACTTTCAGCGATCATTTTCCGTTTTCCCCAGCGCCGCGAATCGAAGTCCATTTGCGTAAATTGAAAATGAAGCGGAAAAAGGATTCAAACACCTGCGAAATTGTAACAGAGAAAATCAGACTACCAAAGTAATGGCACGTAATTACCTGAAACTTGAGTCATGCAAGGCAAACCCACTACCACAAATCCCAGGGTCTTACCTACTCATATTTTGTGGGTGTGTAAATTAAGGCTAAGCTCTAACTATCCTAGATGCGTGTGGGTTCAAGCTTTAACTTCCGAGACTCCCCACCCATCAAACGACGTGGACATGGACATGCATGCGATTTTATTTTGATAATAATGGCACAGCCAAAAATAATTATAATGATCGTGATCACAATCACCGATCGGGAAGGGGGGGATCCAGGCTGGCCAATGACTAAGCAATTTACCGTTTCTAAGACGGGTATAGATTTCTGGGGCCAGACCCCGAGCACATCTTCAATGAAATTTCAGGTCAATTGTCTTGCGGCGGCTGCGTTTGGCTGTTAGTGTCTTGCGGTCTGGGATCCGAACTCCAAACTCCAAACTACAAACTCCAAACCCGAACCTGGGACCCAGAACGAGAACCAGACTTAGACCGCAGCCAGTCTTGCCCAGTTCAAATGCCTTTTTTTTTGTGTGGTGCTTTTTTTTTATTTTGTATTTTTCGCATCTTCGTGCTTGCGGATTCTCCGACATCTAAACATCGAATGCCTCGAACTTGGACCCTCCTCTCCTGCGGATTCCTCCCGTTTGGCAAAGACCTGCCTGCGTAGGCGCTTTCACAGATTAATTGAAGTCATAAGCAATTGTAAACTTATCGCTTTTCGGTCTGCCGATCCATCCACCAACCGGATAATTCTATAATATTTTCTCTGCGGTTTCCTCGTCTCACGTCGACTCGTCGTCTCTCCTCAGACTTTATCGATTTGCAGTTCGAAAATTGCTGGTGGTGTTGGCGTTTGGTTAATTTGTTGCTATATTTGATTGTGGCACACTTTGCGCAATTATTTGATTGCGTTTCTATTAAGTCCCGATACAGTTCAAGAGTTCAACAATCAGAAGCCGCTCCATTCGCAGCGTTTATTTCGCTCAATTTCGAGGTTAAGTTATTTTTACCGATAAGTGTACTGATGTTATGGGGGATTCTATAACTGATTTTTAGGTTATTTCAATTTACAAATAAATATGAATTTTTCCAAACGATAAGGCAAAAAAGCAGGTTTAAATACCTTTAAGTACCTACATGGTTTAATTAATTGTTTTCACTGGTTCCTAAGCAAAGTGAGACCCATTTTGTTTATCTGTTTTTACTTATTTTTGGGGTACTATTTGTTTCAAATTGTATGTTAATCTTTTACGTGATTTTACGGGACTACAATTTTCAATGCTCAATTGGATATATTGAGCATTAATGGAATATTAATGGAAACTGCACTACATTCTACAAACTTTACTGATAGTTATTAAATGTTGAGAAACTATTGAAGGATGGGAGAGATAAATTTCGAAGCAGGGAACCCAATTCCGCAAACTTGGCAGCTATTAGCCGCTGTACGCCCCGCCATCCAGCGACTCCGCCAAACAATGGCAGTAATAAAGTTGGGATGCAGCCCATCCGTGACAATGGAGGAAGCGCCAAAGGCAGCAATTACGGAGCGCGTCGGGACGAAAGGATAAAAGCCGGATGCTCGAATATGGGTAATAAATGCGGCACGGCAAGATGATACACTTATCCGCCGCCGCAGCCACCGCCACACCACACGCTACCACATGATGAGTTAAATGGCAAATGCTAATGGAAATATGACAAGGAAGCGGCGCTCCATCCTTGAGGCAACCATGTATGCAAATGGCACGCTGAACGCTCGAGAAGGATGTGCGCCATGTGAATTTAGTGGTTACGGAAACTCTGCGGCAGTTAAACATGGCGTCTTGCGATTTTATTGCCGCCTCGAAAGTTTGCTTACGCTTTGTGGCATAAATGAGCCCAGCGAAGTGCGGGGATTCTTCGAAGGAAAAGGGGAAGGGAAAAGGGCGGGCGAAGGGGAAAGCGAATTGAAATTCATGGAGCAAACCCCAATCTGGGGAGCTTGGAGCGTGCCCGAAGCCTTAATCTGAATCAGAGTACATATGGGCCTATGTGGTTATGGCCAGAACCCCGCCCTCCCGAAAATCTAACATATGTTTGCTTGTTCACTTGTTTTGTGGCAGCTAAATTGCAGACAAACAATTAAAATGTTTATGCGGCTCAAATTGAAAATTAATTGCTGGC